TTTTGTATGCCAAAAGACAATTCTAACTGTGAACTTTCTGCGATATGATGGTTCTGAATTTTCATTATTGTGGATATTAAATTAATTTACTCATGATGATTCTGACTTACAAAATTATGCGTTTGAATGTCTACTAAATGAGTGAAAGCTAAATCATTTTCTGCGAAATTAAATTTATGTCGTCTGCTGATATATATAATATTATTATGACATTAAAAGTTCTGCGTTACAAGGTAGACCCAATAGGAAAATCATGATGTCACCAAAAATTTCGACGTGACGACATCACAATATCAACGTTCTTTGTTAAAATTAAATTTGTTAAAGCTTGTCCGCATTACGTGATTAACAGAAGGTTTAACGAATTAATAAGGTTTACGAGCCCGTTTTAGTGAATAATCTTTCAGCAAACATAATATAAATGGAAATTACTTTCAAAACAAGAGCGGCGCCAGCCGGCAGCCTGGATGGGAGGCAAGTCAGGGGCGTATATTATCCCTAGGGCCAAAGGGGCCATGGCCCGGGGCAGCTATGAAATGAAATATCGAGCCCAAATGTGACGATTCTAATAACAAGTTTAATCTTAAAGTGTTGGTTCTTAGCCTTACCCGATGAAGTAATACGACCACATAAAATATTGCCGTGAATGCGACACTAATAGAATAATAATCTAGCTGATCGGTCGTTTTTTGGCGTCCTTCAAAAGAAAGGCTAGCAATACGAACAATGGCGTTGAAATAAAATGATAATAATATATATTATCCTGTTATCGCCTTCAAGATTTCGAGTCCGGCGGTAACAGGATCATTCGATAGATTAATGAAGACTACCTGTCTAAAATTGGAATCGTAAATTTATATACCTTGCTTTACATGAAGTATCTAGTATAATTTTTAGCAATTTCAATACATTAAATTGGCCGTAAAACAACTACATCAATTAGCACTTACATTAATGCCTATTCTTTTAGTAGGCTCAGACCAAATAAAAAGTAAACACGGAGTCTGCCGAACCAAAAAGTGAAGCCGGTTTTTTATGTATGTAGTGCATTAGCCAGTGTTACCATAGTCATATAAAACACCCCAATATTAGAAAAATGTAATAACGTTATTTCATAACGTTATTAATAACGTTATAAAATATTAGAAAAAAATATCGTAAGCTTATTCTCTAAACCTCTCGTGAGCCAAAGGTAATGCGCCGTTCTCACCTACAAGTGCCGGACTTCTTTATGGACCGCCCGCCCGCTGGGTGGGAACGATTGCATTGTTCTGCCGATTTCTCTGTTATTTTGTAAAAATACCCTTCACAAACGTATATTTGGATTCTCCATAAAATTTTCAATAAAACAGTGTGTACACAATGCGTCATGTCTATAATTTATTTTAATTACATTATGGTAAACTCAGGAAAGATAAAAAAAAGTCGTTTAAATAGGTAAAATGAGGTATATTTTCAAAATTTGTAAATTATAAATCCAGGTTTTTGTACATATAGAATGTACTATATATGAATGAATGTATATAATAATTTACCAAATACAATTATAAAATATAACACGCAACAGCAAAAAAAGGGTCGTGTTTCAAGTGTTGATAAAAACAAATGCGAGATCCAAATGCCTTGATTTATGTGTTGACGTTTAATTATGTTGGATTGTTTATTTTACTTTAGTTACAAGTCTCGGATGGAATAGGTTTGTTCATTTTATAGTTTCAAGCACTCGCAACAAGGCACTTGAAATCGCTTACAAATCAGTCATCTCAACTTTATGTCGATAAAACGAAAAGCATATACAAATGTTGATAAACAGTTTCTTTTATTAAAATGTACATGAAATTTTCTATAGAATACACAAAATATAATCACTAGTTCCTATACAAGAACATAATAAAATAAATCCACAAACATCGCGAATTTTGGGTCAAAAAGGCCATTAAAAAGTACAATACAAATAAAATTACAAATATATTATTATTTTACAAATCGTCGCTCTGAAAATGAGTCGAACAAACCACGCTGCGGGAAGCTGGTTGCCACAATGGTTCATTTCTACTCTTACGAATGAGAATGAAATGCAATCCACTTCTCTTTTAAATCTTGATCTCGATTAGGAAATCTTAAAAAAAAACGTATATTAAATAATGTGTATTACATCCCAAAAAAATTATACGAATACATAAAGAAAAAAGATGTTTCGTGTAATTGTTTATCCATGCATTATAATATTCGAATAATATAAAAGTATGCCACACAATGTATTTAATAAAATAACGTTACGTTATATTTCACGCTACCCAACAAAAGGGTAAAACTGTAACGAATAATCATGGCAACATTTCGTTCAGGTTTTGTTTACAAAGCGACAACCTCAAATTTGATTTTGATTAATTGAAAATAGCAGTTTATAACTTTACTTACGTATGAAATGTGATTCCATCCTGTTTTTTATTCTTGGAAGATTGGTTTTTACACGTTTTCACTACACAATTCGGCATTTTCTCTAATAAATATTGTTATTTATTATTACGTCACACTCCGCGCGTCGGGATAGCTCGACTGAGAAGCCAAGGCGTAGTTTCGTTGCATGTGTGTGCGTGTAACTGTGTATGTACACGGCGAGGCGTAGTTTTATCGGCTTCACTTTTTGGTTCGGCAGACTCCGTCTATACTTTTTATTTGGTCTGAGTTAGTAGGTAACCCTAAATAGGTTCTACATCTATGTAAAATTAACTGCTACTAAATTACTAGTTTAAGGATGAAGTCGACATCGACTTGAATCTCCAGATTGGTACCTACAAAATGGATAAGTACCATTTGGTTGGTTTTTTATGGGCCTACTTTCCGGTGACTTTTACGATAACGCCACCCGCTTGATATAGGCAAATAAAGGAACGTTCAATTTCAATATCGTTTGCACTTTAGCTAGTGAGAAGTAATCTTTTCTTCTGGAGTACGTATGTCTTTTTCTATACAAGCTTTTTGGTTTTTCCAGAAGTGCGTCCTTTTTGAAGTATGATTTTCAATTCCTAATCTGAATTTTTATACATGCATACATCAAATAATATGCTCGCAAGTATGAATACATCGATTTAAATAAATGTCGTTAGCGTTACTACACCTCGATATAGGTAGTTACATTTGATATAAGTAATTGTTTTTTTTTTCATTTAGGTCCAGCAACCAACACCAAAGTTCTTGAATCATAACTAAAAGCTAATAATTAAAGCATTATTCTCAACGATGTATTAAATATTATTGTTCATCCTATTTGTATTTCCCTTTTAGCAGTTGACAGAGAAGGAATGATAAAAAATTTGAAGTGTACAGTAGAATCTAACTAATCCAGTAGTGAGAATCTACTGTACTAACTTTGCACATATTTTTTTTCTACTTTTATGAATCTGACGTAAGCCAAGAGTAGTGCTTCGCTATTTGATAAAGTTGATTCACCGAGTTGAATGGAACATTTCGATATTTAAAGCTAACAATATGTTAAGCGTTGTAATGTATCGCTGACTCGGGACGACACTTTAGTCTTTTCAACGTTTGCAATTCTCTTTAAAATCTGAGAACAATAGACCATTGAATAAATGACGTAGGTATTTCATATTATAGCAGCAGCGCTGTATATTATAATTTGAAAGAAAAAAAAGGAGTCGTGATACCTACTAAAACACATACTTATAACACCTCTTTGACCTCTGATATTAATATTAAGTGTGAGTGTAGTAAAGATTACTATTTGATGCGGCAGAAAAAATTACAATTCAAGTCATCGTTACCTAAAAGTAGGTAAGTACACATTTTCCTGTATCCGTGAAGCCCTAGAACCTGACTCTATATACCACTGCTGATGTGTACACACATTGTGTAAATGCACAAAAAGTCTTAAGAAGATTGGGCCAGTGTTTGTGCTGGCAGCATAGAAGAAGCAGGTACTAAGATCACCACTAAAGATGTAATAAGATCTAATTGCTATAGCAAAAAACAACTCCTAACTTTTTTCTCCATATTTAAGAGGATTTAGAACATCTTCAATATTTATTCATGTGTTTTTATTGCTTTGATGATGAAGGGCAGCACTTTAGAATATTTAGGTAGCGAAGCAAGCAAGAATGATTCGTTATTACACATTTATTACATACGTTCCGCTGCTGTTTCTCTCGGATGTTTATACTTGAAAATTTTATATCTGGAATAATTTTATGAATTTTATCTAGTGGATTTTTTAAATTGTTTCCATAATTTGTTGCTTGCAAATTTAAGAGCCTCTGCTCTTAAAATATGTTGAAAATCTTGTTATTGCTAATGCCCCAAAAACTTTTTGACAAACTAAAATAAGTGATTAATTTAAATAATAATACACTACATTTTCTATAACATACATAATACTTAAATATTGTACATTTAATACCTCAATACCTACATTCCAAATTTCCCTATCCCGGAATCCCGCATAATAAAATACGCTTTCCCACTTAAGACGCGTTTTTGGTTGAGTCCCTGTGAAATCGTCTTAAACGGGTCTACTGTATTTTTGGGTTGACTACGTACTCGCACTCAAGTGAACGTGAGACCCTAGTGGACCACGCGTTCTCAACGCATCTTTCACATGTGGGCAGTTGGACTACCTGTCAACATTGAGAGGGCACCAAAAGGCAAGGAAATGCTTGTTGTTGCAAGAAAGATTCGTTATACCCCAGTCTGATTCTGTACTCGCCACTAGGAGTTCCAAAAAGGACCTGTGACGATTCCTTTCCTCTGTTTTCATCAAGCTCAAGGGCTCGGTGAAAGGAGCAATTCCCTAACCACCAAAACCACAGTCATTACTCCTACACTGATCCCCGATACGCACTCCGAGGACCAAGGTCCCCGAAGTTCGTGCCGAGAAAGTTGAGCGTTTGGCCACGAACCCGCGCATTAGCGCCCTGACTGGATGCTTCTTCATACGGCAAGCTGGCGCGAATATTTGTCTTTGTTTTTGAAATGATTCTCACCTGGTGAGCAGCAGAGTGGCCAGTAGATAGAACACGGACGGGTGCACGCTGCAGTCACAGTCGTGCGGCGTGGCGGTCTGAGTCTCCATTCCGTCCGCGCCCAGCTTGTGGTAGGCGATGTACGCGCGCGCGGGGCTGCCGTGGGGAGCAATTTTCGAGGCTGTAACTCGACACCTGTCACACTGGAAATGCTCATCTGGTCGCTGAGGAGGTTGTTCTCCTCACCTGCAAGGAAACAATTTCATTCATAACATGAATTTGGCCAGGTCAGCAATTTAGAATCATGCTAAATCACGTTTAAAAGATAATTTTAAAGAATTAGGTAAGTACATACACGTTTACCTGAATAAAGCTAAGAGAATAAGAGTACAGGACCTACATATTATTATCGAATAGACTCGTTGTATTCATATAAGGAAACCAAAGTAGCCTCATACGGCATTCGGAACATATATTTTTTACGAACCTTATACATCCACCCTAGACAGCTGACATCGGAATCCTAACCACAGAACAGAAAAAGGACTTTTTTTCTGAGATGCTGACAGTTTATTAAAATTGCTATACGATTGCTATACGATGAAAATTAGGTATAATGCTGGGTATATATAGCCTTTTATTAGTACTGTGAGATAATTTTACATTATATCCATAACTAATTGAAAACGTTAAATACTAAATTCTATCCGCGGAATCCCACTTGAGAGGTTTACAGTTGCTATAAAGGAACGGCTTGTTCCTAGATGTTTTACATAACTTAGATAGGTCTAACGAACATTTTCTGTAGGTAGGTAGGTATTTTATTAGTTTAAGATAACTATTGTTTTTATGCTAGACAGTTAAAAAAAACATAGAACAACACTTTGTCACATAGAGTAAAACATTTTTAGGAACTGGGTATAAATTTCGCAAGTGTCTTATCAAGGTCCCATACGCAGTGTTACATGACATCGAAATCCTAATATAAACCTCGTCTTTAAGTTTTGTAAGTAACATTGCAGTGCAGTTTATATCAATGTTTACTGAGTATGTTTCGGACCTTGCCAATTTAGGGTTCCGGTCATAATCTGATTTATCTATGTATTGGTATTTGTTAGTAAACTATACGTACCTATTAATAAACATCACCATTCTAATTCGTAGGTCGATAATATGTTTAAAAATTCTTCGGAACAAGACTTTATAAAATAGATGTTTTCCCATTCCTTTTGTTTCCAATATTTTTTATTAACAAAATCTGTAGGTACCTATGGGTTTTATCCACTTAACATACTCTATACAATGTATTCACTTACCCCGCTGCATGGAAATAAATTAATTTTATTTCGCACCCCCTTTCTGTAATATGCTAATGATCAGATATTCCAGAGACTCTGACGTTATGATTTTTTTTGCCCACTGAATAATACAATTAATACTAATAGAAAACAGATAAGCAACACAGTAAAGTTAAATGCCTATTTTATTTATTCGCTACATATTAGGATATGTGCAAGTGATCAAAGCGATTTTATTTAAAAAACGAAATTAAATAAATAATACTGACAACTTTTTAAATTATTATTAACACTATTTACTGCCATTATGTATAAACGTTAAATTAAAAAGTTGGTCGAATTATCCATTTATATGACTTATAAAAGAAATAATTATGTCAATCGAAAGACAATGAAGTTTTAAACGTTAAAAATAATGATACCTACATGATATGACTTAAAGATTTCATTAAATATTAGTAACTTACACTTCTTTCATCGCACGCGCCGCATTCAATTGAACAGAGCTTTTGTTACATTTTTGTTTGTTATTCCGTTACGTTATGTCACGCGACGTAGAACGGGCCACATCAAAGTGCAACTAACCGTAACGCGTCCGCCCTCGTGAAGCGAGCAATACTTACTGAGAAAATAAGGAAAATCGTGGAACAGTCTAGGGACGAGTCCAATATAAAATGAATGTCGACATCGACAAAAACTCTCTAAGTTATATTTCTAGCTATAACCACCTAAAAGTAATTTGTTTGGTTCAATCACGCCAAAATAGATTCCAAAGAAATTTTGTACACATAACGTAAATGAAAAGGGCATAGTCTACAAACGCGTTTGCTAGGTTTACATGTGCAGATGCGCAATAAAAACACACTGTTTTAATTTTTTATTGCGCTTCATGCGATACAGCTGGCTTAGAGATGGATAGTTGAAACTTAGTACTAGGGTTCAATTGTCACTTTAGGCCTCTGGCTAGTAGAAACCCTTTGATATACACCCTAGATACCGTATTAACTACAGGGAAGCGGTGAAAAACAACGAGTGTGCTTATGACCACACGACTGAAGTAAAACTGCTTTAGCTCCATCTGTATATATGTATATGCGTGTATAATATATACATGAATGTACATATACATATTTCATTTACTAGCTTTAAGGGATAAAGATAAAGAAAATGTGCGCGCGCATTGGTTTCTCTTTCTTATATCCCCCACTCAACTCGCGTTCGCCTCGCCCAAACACACTTTTCGTAACGCGTAACGCATTCGCCAGTTTACCACCCAAGTTAAGCGTGCGTAAAGAAGTTTCACTTCAAAAATATCTACTAAATAATAATATGGTGGATATGCTCATCGCTACATACGTTCACATTGACTTCTGACTCACACTGACAATCTCTAGAATCACGCACACATTGCGCGTAACATGAGCCGTTTTCTTTGCATGGTTTATTTGGATTGCTCTGTACAGGAATATAAATAATCAAAGTCCCTGGAGATATTATCGATATCTCAAAATTGCGCTCCGTGGCATCCTTGGTTTAATTGGGCGGGCGGGCGCTTGAAGCAGGGCGGGGGAAAAGTCGATACCCACCTCGTGTCTTTACGCGATGCACACTGCACCATAATTAATGAAGTGACATTTTTTGGATAATTAATTTAACATTCATGAAAATATTTAATCCGAGCCATTTTCGCCCGGTCATGGAATTCGAAAGTCCTAATAAAATGACGGATGTCTGGCAGATGTGAAACATGGAAACTTACTTTTGAATAAAAACATGCATACTCTTAAGTGTTTAAATAATTTACTTATGGTAAATATGTTTAGGAGGAGCTCGGTGGCGCCACCGGTTAGCGCGTGCGGCTGCGATAGCTGAAGTTAAGCAACTTTCACAGGCGATGGTCATTGGATGGTGACGAAAAATTTACTATATCGAGCTCCTCCGTGCTTGAGCTTAACGTGCCTTACGTTAAGCCGTTGGTCCCGGCTGCATCTGCAGTCGTCGTGCTGACGACTGCAGATGCACCAATCCGCACTGGGCCCGCGTGGTGAAATCTCCCTATTCCATCGATAGGGAAGGCCTGTGCCCCAACAGTGGGGACATTAATAGGCTGATGAGGAAATATGATTATCACGTAAAACATTTTATCATGAAAACAAAAAATAAATTTAGTAAAAAGTTAGGTATTTAATATGGGATCACCTAACCTGGATGGGAGTACCTACAGCAGTGCTGTTCTGTAAAATAGGCTAGTTGACCCTTTTTGGAAAAAGGTTTTAAATGGTTAATAAATGTTCTATTAGACCGAAAAAAAATATATTGTATTTTTTTGAGACCTAGAAAGTTACAAATCTTTAATTTTAAAATAGACTTTTCATGGACATACAAAAACGCTGTCAGCCATTTTAGTCTATAGATTATCTATGCTATGACGTTGACGGTAGTAAATAAAAACTCGTAAGCACCACGGCCGTGGTAAGCACGTAGAAAATAACCTATCTGAGTTTATAATAATAAAATAAACATGATTTCTAATAGATACCACGAAAAATATAGTAATTATCATTATTGTATTGTACGAGAATGTAAGAACCTTGAAGACTCCAGGAAAGATGTGGATTAAAGTGCCGAAAAAAATTAACCTACGTAATACCTGGTTAGAACTTGCTAAAAGTGATCCTGCAACTTTATCGACTCATAGTAAAATTTATTTTTGTGAAGATCACTTTGATGTAAGTACTCATTGAATAATATGTTAAGTCTCTTCATTTATTATCAGTTTTAATAATACAAGTTTTAAAGTTATGTATGAATGACATTTAGTTGTTTACTAAAAGAGACGTCACAATCATGGCGGATGTGGCGAACAGCGTTTTTAGTGTTTAAAATATATAGACTAAAAATATTTTTTTTAAACTTAAATTTCTGCGGCAATCTTCTGCTTTTATGAAGTGAAATCGATATATTTAGGTTCCTTAGACCAAATACTTTAAGAAATAAACATTTATTTAATACAATTCGACATGAGTCAACTAGCCTATTTTTATGCGTGGATCTAGGGGCCAATCGCCTTACCAGATTGCTATAGTTATCGCTATCGCTTACAATTTCATTTTGTTATTTCTGACCACCGAAGATTTTCAAATGTCCTGCGCTCTTCTTTTTCTTTTGTATTGATAACAGTAGTATTAAATAAAATGAGCGTTAGATATTTGAAAACCTTCGGCGGTCAGAAATAACAAAATGAAAACGTAAGCGATAGCGATAGCCAAAGCAATTCCGTTAGGCGATTGACCCCCTGCGAGGTTCTGCTATAAGTCCGAGCGGATCCGCGTGTAAAAAAATTACAGAATAGCACTGCTGGGATTTGGTTTAAGTGCGAGTATCCAGATGTGTCAGGAAATGCTACATGTAAGTTTGCTATCGTGATTTGTGCTTTCTGATTTGGATACGCACTTTGCCGGTTTTTCGCGGACCTTGTATATTTCATAGGATGATTTATAAATCGAATTTTCGCGAAAATCCTAGGGATTTTGCGAAAACGCGGATAATTAGACAGTGACTCAATTTTACTGTTAACAAATTTTTTTCTGGTGCTGCGCCGGCCGCTACTGCTGCACTCTCGCTGCGTTCGTTCGGCTCGCGCGTCATGGTCACATCTCCAACACTAACCTAACGTAATTTAGTATCTATTAACAAATAAACCCAATTATATTTATAATAAGCCAACTATTCTTTTCGCAATCTTATTGAGGCGACTCGCGTTTTTGCAAAAATTCTATAATTTTTCAGTAACATTGAGAAATGTCATCGCCAGGTTCTAATTATCCGCCGTTTTCGCAATATCCCTAGGATTTTCGTGCAAATTCGATTTATCAAATCATCTTACGAGATATAAACCGAGGGGATGATCTCGCCAAAGGCGATTGGGTCAGGGTAGGCAACGGCGCGAGTGATATTTATTTTTTAGTATCGCAAGCGTCTATAGGCCACATGCCATAAGCTTGTTTGTCACTCTTTTAAAATAAAAACAAATAGAGAGAAAAAAGTACGTGTGGCAATCGGGGACTGCCGCGGTAAAGCATTTTCTATCAAGAACAGCTATTCACTGTTGTACATAGATGAATGATGAAGATTCGCGGGTGCTGAAGATTCGCGGGTGCTGAAGATTCGCGGGTGTTGAAGATTCGCGGGTGTTGAAGATTCGCGGGTGCTGAAGATTCGCGGGCGCTGAAGATTCGCGAGTACTGAAGATTCGCGGGGGTTGAGTATTTGTGGGTGATGTGGATGCGCGGATGCTGAGGATTCGCGGGTGCCAGTGATTGAAGTTAACAGGTTCTAACTTGGGATTCGTGGGTGCTGATATTTAAGATTCGCGGGTGCTAATTATTTGGATTGGTGGTGCTAACTTGAGATTCGGGGGAGAGCGGGTGGTCGGAGCCGATCAGAGTGGGGGGTGTTAGGTTTATTTTCGTTACGGAATTTCTTGAATCGGTCGCCGAGCTCAAAGCTTAAACATGTTGGAGCCTAGAAATCGAATCTATAAAAGAACTTTCTTAGCTTCTTCTACAGAATTTTAAGTTCATACTATGTTACTATACCTTCGCGGAAGGCTGTAGTTATATTGTACTAGGTAGATATAGTATTGCACCCGTGAGACTCGCGAGATGCTAAGTGTGCGGTGTCTGAAAATAGAGCTTTTGCCTGCGTACAATAAGGTAGGTATAGTACTGAGGCCCAAGATTATTTGGTTTGTGTTATTTTTTAAGCCTCTCTTAAAATGTGTTTAATACATTCAAAATAAAACAGACTTTGTAGAAACAAAACTACTAAACAATGGGAGATACTGCTGAATCTTTACTTAAATCTATCTCATGTAATGTAAAAACTTCTGTTAAAACTGACCGATTAGTAAAAAACTTTAAAACTTAACACTAGGATTACAGACAAAGCTGAAATACATTCCAAAAACTTTTTTTTAAATGCTTCTTGAATTTCAACACTTTAATGAAAAGTTTTGGTCAGACCCTCGCCCCCTCCGGTTTTACTGAACTAGAAGCATAGAAGCAGATAAGTCTTATGCTGCTTTAATTTTTTGTTTTTTAAAACACAAGGAGGTATTAGAAAATTCTCTCAGCTTACGTGGGCTAAAAATTCTGAATGTAATTTTTCTTCGCTCAATGATAAAATTAATGATTTGTTTTGTACTGTCGATTATTTTAATCGTTTACAAATGCTTTGTGGCCATATAGCAGAAGCTATTGAAATGCGCAGGGATATGATAAGAAGGTTCGAGATCCTATGTTAGAAACGGCTTTAATTAAAATACCTCTATCACCGGGGTATTTATTCGATCCGGAAAGTTTTACATTCATTTTGGAAGCAGCTGGAGGAGTGCGTAAAGTATTTTGGCCATTAAATAAGGATGGCAAAACTGCAAACTCTTCACTTAGAGCACATAGATTTTCAAGCCCACGCTCGCGTCGCGCCGTTCGAGCCACAACAAATTGCCATCGCATGATAATCCATCTCACAACTATCGAGATCAAGCTCGTAATGCGATGATACATAATTACATACCCTCGCAGGGTGAGTGCGGTCAATAATGCTCTTCGCGAGAGAGCCTTAAATGACAGCCTTATGACAATAATCCTATACCTAGAGCTAATACCAGTGGTAGAGGGCATTTCGCAACCACGGCTCGAGGCTTGAACGTGGAATGTATAACTCACAGCGAGGGAATCGTAAGATACATCATTCCCCGCTAAATCACAAAGAAAATCCTAAAAAGCGAAGACAATGACTTTCAACGGTTCTACGGTGGTCGGTTAGCATAGTATTATTAATCAATGGACAAAACTGGGAGCACCGATTGCAATTCTGAAATTATTAAAAGGATACCGCACACCGTCAATGTTCACGAAACTCCACATCAAAACATACATTCAAAAGAAATGTCTGCAATCATAGGTAGAAAAATTAAAAACTCAAGGTGTACCGTCTGCAGTAAAGCCATCCCTAAGTTTTGTATCACCGATGTTTCTGGTCTCCAAAAGCGATGGGAATTCCAGACCAATCTTCAACTTGAAGAGGCTAAACGAATACGTGCTGACCGACCGTTTCCGTTTGATAAATATGCACAGAATAGCAGACTTCCTGCAACCCAAGGACTGGTTATGCAAGACCTCTCCCAAGCATACTTTCATCTGCTTGTTGCCAAATTTCACAGAAAATTCTTGCGAGTAGTTTACGAGGGGGAACTACTCGAAATAACATGCTTACCCTTCGGTCTTTGCACAGCACCAAAGGTTTTTGCTACTCTCTTACTTGATAGCGCAATACATGCGAGAAAGATCGGCAAGAATCCTGGTATATTAAAATGATCTTTAAATCGTAAATCAAAATGCGTCGATCTTACAATAACAGTTAAAAAATCTGATAGAGGTTCTGAAAGCTCTGGGATGTTGCATAAACTCAGATAAGTTTATATTAACTCCACAAAAACGCATTACTTACCTTAGTGTGCTTTGAAATCCATTGACCAAGCTGATGTTTTTTTATTGAGCAACAGAGAAATCAGCCACTATCATAAAAAATTGATAGGTCTTTTGAACTTCGCCAGCTTTGTCATACTCTGGGGCAGACTCAATCATCGGCGAACTCTGAGATTTATGAATTCCTTTTTAAAGCATTCCACGAGGCATTGTCCTTTGCAGCCCAAGGTCAAAGTAGAACTAATATGGTGGATTTAGAATTCTCAATACAGCATGTGACATCATCCTCCTCCAGCACATTTTTCGCCAATTGATGCGTCAGATCGGACGTAATTGGAAGTCTGCAATGATGGTAATATTGAAAATTCAAGTTTGTCGGTTGCTAATTTATTTAGTCCAGTACAATGATATGATTCAATAATCATATGATTCAAAGTTGTATTAATCTTTTGAATAAATTATAAGGATTATGTTAATAAATAAACTCTTGGTTTAATTTTCTTTGAATATCCATCTTTATTCACATTGGCGTAACATAATAAGCTTCGAATTGCATACGGTCAAGTGGCTAATAGATAGCAGTGTTTTACCTGAAACAAAACGCATACTTAAGAAGCTTACTTTCCAGCACTGGTGAATTCGACATACTGATTCAAAATCTGCCTTCCCAACCCTGGTGGTGGCGGGAGGTTCACCGGAAATGAACCAAAAGGGCAGGTCAAATGAGACAGAAGTCGACGAAAGCGGAAGTACTTATCTCATAATAAGCTTCGAATTAGGTAAGTAGTTTAATATGCGTTTTATTTCAGGTAAAACGCTGCTATTAAATATTAAAAAGGCTGTATGAATTTACTATCCTTTGCCTTCCTCAAAATAAAACGTGTTTGGTTTAGTGTTGCCAGGTGTATCGCTTTTCCGCTTTTCCTATCGGCTTTTTGACAATGGATCTAGAACTAGGCTGCGCTTATTACAGTCGGACCACGATAACTTTGCAGAGTGACTAATCTAGTCACAGCAGAAAAACTTGATTTGGCAGCCCGTTTAGAACGTCATTATTTTTTTTGTTTTTTTTTTTATGTTTATGAAGAGAATAGAAAACAGAAAAGTCCACGTCAAAATATTCATAAAATATTAAATCAAAATAAATCTGCAAAGGAACAAATGGAGACGGTTCTGCAAAAAAAAGGAATGTTATGCAGAAATCTTAATGTCAACGAGTGAGGTACAGTCACGGTAATATTATCAAGTACAGTTCTGTCTCGCTCGCTCGATTGAATGTTATTTCTTATTTACAGACGTGTGCGTGTGAGAGTTGCTTAAGTAGTTGAGTCGGATCATATTTTATTTGATGCTAGTATGAGCGTACCGTCTCTTCCCTTTATTTTAATCTAAGCGTTAAAAGCACGACTCGATCTAAGCAATTGAACTAAGATATTCCGTATTTTTTTAATTCGTGTTTTTGTTCCCGCGTTTTAAATTTCCTCATCTGGCAACACGGAGTCGTTGTGTCACTTCACTTCTGTGAACTGTTCTGCTGTCCTGCCTGCTAAAAATCAGAATATTTTCACAGAATAGAAAGTTTTTTTGTTTTCAACGATCAAATTTTACAAGATTTTAAGTGCTCTTTCTTTTGCAGAAACCAATTACAAAATTCCGAGGTAAGAACATTTGTAAATAATGAGATGAAAGTACCTACTATTTAAAATTTGTACCATGTGATGAGATGGCGGGTACAAAATTGCTATGATTCGACTTTTCCAAATAGTATTTCTGCTGTATTATCGGTAACATCGTGAAAATTAGTTTGCGTACATGTATTTTTGTAATAAACAGTTAACGGAAATGTTTGTTTAAACGTGGCGGGAAAGCTATTGTATTATAACTATTGTTATGGTTAACAAAAGCGGCCTAAAGTTTATGCCGGTTACCTTACGGACTTATGAAAATAATTTTATAAATCTACAGTAATTACCGTGTGTCATCTGTATTTTTGCTATTTCAACCTTTGTTACTTTTTTAATGTTAATGCTCATACAAATACTTTCAGTTACAGTTTATTTATATATCCTTTGTCTGAAAGCAAGCATTAAAACTTTTATTAATTATAATGTAAAACTTTCGTTATTTATAGATGGCAGAAGTTGCTGAAGTAAGTACGACTTGCCCGACAGAGTTGCTTGGTGTAGGAAGACGACACCTTGCTGTGCGAGACTTTAGTGCTGCAGCAGAAGCTCTGGCAAAAGCTTGCGAACTCCTTGCCAAAGAACACGGAGACACTGCCGATCAATGCGCTGAGGCATATTTGTGGTGAGTTTGTTTCTTAGGTGATTAATTATGTGGTGGTAGTTAATTAGTGAGAGTGTATGTTCTATTGAATTACATAATTTAATATTGGAAATAGAATACTGGTACTAAGTAACTGGTAAAATCAAATTTTACTAGATTTAAACTCAAGAAAGCACTGTAATTTTAAAAATTCTGACATTTGTTTGAACCTGTTCAATTGAATATGCCATTAAACTTTGCATTATTTATTAGTTTCCTTGTCACATTGTAAAATTTCAAATGATAGAGGTATTATTTAATACAAATAAACTTACATTTATCTGAAAATCTAAATGCCTAACTCCCTCCTTATTACTTTTATGTTTAAGGTATGGTAAAGCATTATTGGGATTGTCCAGAGAAGAGAGTGGTGTGCTTGGTGATGGTATGCCAGGTGCTGGAAATGCTGACAATGAAGAAGAAAATGAAGGTAAATTACCTTCTTACTTTGCAACATAATAGCTGTTTATAAAGCTAGAACACAAGTTAATTGGTTTTAAGGTTGGATCAGTAGACTTTTCTGTAAATTATAAATTACATTACCATGGATGATGGTGCATAATAACTGCTGTGGTTCACATAGTTCAGCAGTGGTAAAAGTTATACACAAGAGCACTTATCTATAGAAAGAAGAAGAATGTGTCTTTATAAGTAATACCAATAAGGTATTAATTATAAAGACAAGTTGACATAATACTTATGTGTAAAATAATGAGCGGTTACACTGTTTCGCATTTATTTGCAATGCAGCAAATTATTCCTTCCTGGACAAAGCAGCTGCTTGCAAAATAGAAAATCTTTAACTTCCTGTATGCCGGACAAAACTTGTTAGATTAGGTGTAGATTAGGACAGTTAGATATGGTGTAGACATTTTTGGCAATGCTATTGCAGTGATGAAAAAGAAACTGGGAGCATTGTTACAAATGCAAGTTTAAGGGTAGTATTGTGTACTATTTGCCAATATATAAAAATGTAATTAAGATTTAAAGAGTATTTTAACATATTCATAAGAGTTTAGCTGTGTTTCTATTCATAAGATTTGTGATACTGTTAAGGTACACTGTATGTAATTATTTTGTCATTTTCACAATTCCAAAACTAAAGAAAAAAAAGAACTTTGTACTACATTTATTTTGCAAATAGGCGAAGAAGAAAATGGTGATGATGAAAATGAACAGAACGTAGATGAAGTGAAAGAAGCTGAAGCTGCAGTTACGGAGCCAGAAGCATCTGAACCGGAATCCACCACAAAAGAGGATGAATGCAGTAAAGCTGAAGACAATGAGCCGATGGACTCTAACGAAGCCAACGAGGAACCTGTAAATATAATCTATTCTTGTAAGATCTATATAAGCTGATATGTTTTTTTTTAACATACCTATCACAAACTGTAACATTTAACAATGAAGCCTGGGACATAATTATAACCAGAAGTTTTTTAAGTACCGGGTAACTGCTGGTTTAAACTTTGGTTTAAAATATGCACTTTTATGTCAAATCAAATTGTAGCTTCTCTTTGTGATAAATATGTCGCGTTTATACCTTTCCATTTTTAAATTTTAAGGTTTATGTTAAAGTTAGTTATCTTACGAAAATAGGATTTTTCCTATTATGTTTAAGGGTTAATTTTTTTTTAATTTTGTGCCGAAGTTGGTCTACAAGAGGATTACTTTAGCTTGTTGAGTTTTCTCTGTAAAAAAACACATTTTAATCTATTTTGGGGTTAAGTGACCCTTATAACAGGTCACCATTAGCATACTTAATACACAAATGGATGTTTATGCCCAAAAATAATTTAGTTAAATAAATATATAAACAAATTTATTTATATTAGTTGTGAAATGAAATATTGACAAATTCTGAATTTCTTAAGTAAAGCTACATAAAATATTTATACTTTGGTAAGTACTTAATTTGACTTAACTACAGGAACTTTGTAATAACAAAATAAAATTATAACAGAACAATTATTTTTCTTTGGTGATAATGTGTTCTTTGGCAGCCATCGCCAGAACACAGAAGTTTTTATTTTTAATAAATTCTTTGCAAAGTATTTGCTCCAAACTGCATAATTGCTTGTCTTTAATTCAGGGCCAATGCCAATATGATTTTCCTTTTTTTATGCAGGATACAAGAACTGCTTCTTTAGATATTAAGACAACTTTACCTGGCTAGTAACATGTATTCAATGTTATTATGACATAATCATTAATCATGAGGTTATTACCTACCTACCTTTTATATCCGTAGCATGTCCATTTACGCATTGCAGAACTTCTTTTTGAAGAGCAAGTGAATGCTCGTCAGTTTGATACTACATTCAGATACAACTTCTCGCAAATGACAGGTGTACCTTGCGCTTCTTTAGTGCTATATGTAGGCACAGATTGCAGTAGCTCTTCACTTTGAAAAACAGGCAGACCTCGGTTTCCTTTAGCACTCCTTGAACGCTCAAGCGGCACTGCCTCATCTTCTTCGGCATAGGACCTTGCGCTTCTTTAGTGCTATATGTAGGCACAGATTGCAGTAGCACTTCACTTTGAAAAACAGGCAGACCTCGGTTTCCTTTAGCACTCCTTGTACGCTCAAGCAGCACTGCCTCATCTTCTTCGGCATAGGACTGAGTTTGCAGTTGTTCTTCAAGTTGAGGAATAGGTAGTTTTGACACTGCTTTTGTTTTTACAGGCGTAGTCTTCTAGATTAACGCTGCTAGTGAAATAACTACGTCAGAGTCGTCATGGGATACAATGTGGTCTTCCATAGATGAAGTAAGACTGAGAGTTATATCTCTGCCGCTTGCTGATGAAGATAGGGTACGCTTTGGTTGTCTTTTCGTCTGTTTTTTTTTTGTTTTGTAAATCGAATTACTCTGCTTCTGTCATATCAGCAACGCAGATGGACTTTCCAGTAGGAAGTTAAGTTTTCTCTTCTTAACAACTTTTTTTCAGTACACACAAAACTAGTAGATGCATGTGAACGACTCGAAATTTAGAAAACAAAGACATATAAAATATAGAAACATACAAGTAAATTATAAAGTAAAAGATGTTAGATTATTTAAAATACATGTTAGTAGTAGATTGACATAATTAAGGGCGTCTTGAAATTAGTAATTTGCGCTAAATTTGTTTGAGTTTAGTAGGTGTAGTTTTATTATTTTATATCTAAATCTAAGGTTGACGGGTAACTTTGGCACAAAAGACAAAGTTACCCAAAATCATTGGCTAAAGTATACCTACGTATCTTTCCCTAAATATAAACCAGTAAATTTGTGTAAAACCTTTTGAATTTATCATCAACGTACTCCCATGAGCATGTTCAATAACGTTAAAAAAAAAAATAGTAAATTTACCGAAAACCACAGTTTTACGAGAAAGTATGCACATTAACTTGCGAACTATTTCAGTTACAAAAAGTCCCGCGTAACTATGATAGGGTGGATTTAGGAACGACGTCGGTAAAACAACACTACACTACGCGCCTATATGGCTATCTGTGATTTTCAACTGGAACTATTATGTTCACCCAAGAGATACTGGGGGCCAATCGCCTAACGGAAATGCTTTGGGAAACGCTAACGCTTACGATTTTATATTGTTATTTCTAGCCGCCTGAGGTTTTCGAATACCTCACGCTCATTTTATTTAATATTGTTATTACCAATGCAAAAGAAACAGAAAGAGCGCGAAGCATTTGAATACCTCAGGCGGCTAGAAATAACAAAATAAAATCGTAAGCGTTAGCGTTTTCCAAAGCATTTCCGTTAGGCGATTGGCCCCCTGATGTGGCGGCAAGTTCAAACTTTTTTCTGATTTGGGACAAAGTTACCCGCCCGAGCTAAAGTAACCCTCACTTACGGTAGTGTTCTTTTGTTATGAAAACCTATTTTATATTTTTATTACATTTACATTTTAGAACTTCGTAAAAATAATGTTTTCCCCATAGGGTCCTTCCAATGGTGATGTAAATGAAGAATCAGAAGTGAATTTGGATAATGAAGATGATGTGGATAACTTGCAGTTATCTTGGGAAATGCTGGGTATGTTAATTTTCTATATTTATTATTTTAGATTAGTAATTTGTGTTTCTTGCAGGATTGCTACCTTGTTTTCTGCGAGTCTCTGATATTTATCCTTCTAGTGACTATGAAATTTTGAAATAATAATGATGTTTAATTTTAATTTTTTAAGCATTTTACTGCTAGATGTTTAAATCTAAAGAAAAGTTAGGGACCAGGCAGTGAACGGTCCTGTCTTAGCTGACGTACTGTTTTACGTTTTAACCTCATATCAATAGTGATGTTTGCTATTGTCTTTTTATCAGACGTAGCCCGCAGTATCCTCCGTCGCCGTGTGGAAGTATACGAGGGGGAATACTAAGTTTCAGTTTTGCATATGAATAAAGTGATGTTTGCTATTGTGTTTTAATCAGATTTGGCTTGCATCATCCTCCGTCGCCGCGTGGAGGTATACGGGAGAGATAACTAAGTTTCGGAGGCCACATATCGATTAAGTTATGGTTGCTATTGTATTTTGATCAGATTTAGCTCGCAGCATACTTCGTCGTCGCGTGGAAGTATACGGGGGAGATTACTAAGTTTCAACTTCACATATCAATACATTGATGTTTACTGCTGTATTTTTTTATCAGATTTGGCTCGCAGCATCCTAAGTCGCCGCGTGGAAGTATACGGGGGAGATTATTAAGTTTAACTTCACATATCAATAAATTGATGATTACTACTGTATTTTTTATCAGATTTAGCTTGCAGCATCCTAAGTCGTCGCGTGGAAGTATACGAGGGAGATTACTAAATTTCAACTTCACATTTCCAGGAAGTGATGTTTGCTATTATGTTTTCATCAGACTTAGCATCCTCCGTCGCCGTGTCTTCTACTACAATAGGGGGAGGGAGATTACTAAGTTTCAGTTTCACATATAAATAAATTGATGTTCGCTATTTTGGTTTGATTAGATTTGGCTCGCAGCATCCTCCGTCGCCGCGTGGAAGTGGGCGGGGGAGACTCGGCTCGAGCCCTATTAGCCGACGTACATCTCGCGCTGGGGGAGGTCGCGCTAGAGAGCGAGACCTACGACAAGGCCGTTATCGATATGCGTAAGATATACAATAATTAACTATTTTCTTATTTCGCCACTAAGGGGCCATTCAAGTATTACGTAAACACTACAGGGTTTAGATGGTGATTACGTCAGCAATAGTTATTTAATTTTTTACACAAATGGCAATCCACACATTGTCTATACTTGCAAACCAAACGCATATTCGGGGTTGCGGGGATGAATTAAAAAAAAGTAGATACCAATGTTTACGTAAGCATGGGAGTGGTAATAATTGTAATAAAACTGCTTACGTAATACTTGAACGGCCCTAAGGTTTACCGCGCAGATTGCGTATTTGAAAAACTGTTGCAATATATTCCATTACTTTAAAAGTTACGCATCGCGTGCAATAGAAGTTTTCAAAAGGAATATCAATTTGCTGTTTTCGCGATATTATTTATTGATGCTCAGCATCTATTGGTGGTAGCGTGCTTCCTCATAAATTGACTATCCAACACATAAAGAAAGTACTTAGTGAATAAATTTATCCAAAAAATATTCATCATCATCATCAGCCTATTAATGTCCCCACTGCTGGGGCACAGGCCTTCCCTATGGATGGAATAGGGAGATTGGGCCCCACCACACGGGCCCAGTGCGGATTGGTGGGTGCTAACGACTGCAGATGCAGCCGGGACCAACGGCTTAACGTGCCTTCCGAAGCACGGAGGAGCTCGAGATAGTAAATTTTTGGTCACCCATCCAATGACCGACCACTGCGAAAGTTGCTTAACTTCAACGATCGCAGCCGAACGCGCTAGCCACCTGCGCCATCGAGCTCCTCCAAAAAATATTGTGACTACAAAAACCTTAACTCTACTTACGTGTCAGACAGGGCTTGAACTAGTAGCCTTTGACTTTTGGAAGGCAGTAAGATGCTCAACCAATAATAAAATGCAATATTTTTTTTCTTTCTACAGAAAGCTGCTTGGACCTACAAAAAGAACTGTATCGTACCGACGACAGACGTATTGCAGAAACGCACTACCAAATCGGTATGTTTTATTTTATAATTTTAAATTTGAACTTAAAATTTTCTATGTACATATGTTTTATTATAATACAGGCAATCCTCAACTTACGTTGTTTCGATTTACGTCGTTTCAAGTTACGTCGAACAATGTTTTGGCACTATTCCTCAAGCATACGTCAATTGTTTTGATTTCCGGCATAGGAGAATTCACTTGTCGCGATGTTAATGTCCGTGGGGCCGGCGTCTGTGGGGATGTCTCGACTTACGTCGTTTCGCTTTACGTCGCGTATTTCGAGAACCTAACATGCTGTAAGTACGAGGACTGCCTGTAATTTGAGCTCCGCCATACTTTAGAAATCACACTAAGCCTAGTTAATACCTATTTTTTTATATCTATTTAGGACATTTTGTTCTTTGGTCAAAGGTTTTACATAAGTTATATCTTCTATCCATCCGTTCATTCACAGGGAAAGGGTGCCCCTGCAATGGGGAGTTTAGGCTGAAGATAATAATGATAATGAATTAATTTGTTAGGCAATATTCTCATTACAATAAAAAAAATAACACTCATTGCAACTCTACTCTCTTTACAGGCTTAGCAAACTCGCTGGCTTCCAACTTCGAAGATGCCATCACCCACTTCAAGAACGCCGCAACCATTCTAGAAACTCGCATAAAAACATTGGAGAATCCCGAAGCAGCCACTGATGATGCCACAGTCAAAAAGTTTAAGGCATCGGATCCGTTCTATTCAGTGGAGGGCGAAATAAAGGAATTGAAGGAACTTCTGCCCGAGATACAGGAAAAGATCCAAGATATGATGGACTATAAAGCCGAGGTAAGACCTTGCGAATGTTTGGAGGAAACCAGGCGTATGCTCCGCGATATGATTTTAAAGGAGAAGAATCGTAATGTTGAATGCGAATGTTGAGACGTAACGCAGTAACTGATAAAATTTCATTCTCGTTTATCAGTTATTTTTTTCTAAAATCAAGCTTATTATTGTATTTTTGACTGCCACATATTAGAAAATGGTATTATAATAAGCAATTACACTTCTTTAATAAGTAATGATCCTGTTGAAGCTTAAAAAGCAATTTGTGCCTTAATTGCACTCTATAGAACTAAGAGTAATTTCAGACTGAAAAAAAGACTGCATTCATTTTAAAATTAATTCACAATCCATAAGTGCCAAGTTAGGTATTAGATTAAATCATTAGTATTAAGAGTATTTACATACTAAAAATGACTGTTTTACATTCAGTGATAAAGTTAGATTTTACATTCCATTAGGTGTTTTAGAAATTGTATTTGTTAGGGAGTTCTTAAAGCTGTGACTAGAATTTGTGATTGGTATTAAGTTATTTTTCTGTGATTATTTTGTTCTAGTTTTATAATGATTTTCCATAATCTCACATAATTAACTGAAAATTCAAATGCTCATAGTTTTTAAGGAAAGCTCTGCTGTGATTGTTTTTATTATAACATTTTGACCACAAGGCCATTTTTGTATCATGTCATTTTAAACATTTTAGAATAAAATCATTTTCTAAATTGAGCAATGTGTATTATTTCCCTACGAGATATTGGTGCATTAATGGCCATGTGGTTGAATTGTTGGTAATTGTATTATTGAATCATGGCCATTGATGTCATACCAAATTACAAACTAATATAGGCATAGTCAAGACTACTATTCTCATCACAGTTGTATGTACAGCAAATATCGCTTCTAATGCAATGTTAAAAAATGATCTGTAAGTTTGCGATGATCTCAAAAACTACTGAATGGATTTTGATGCTGTTTTTATCAACAGTTAGAAAATATTTTCAAGGAAAGTTTGTATGTGTCATAGAAGCCCGAGAACAAAAAATATGGTCTCGACCGAAATAAAGCGACGGCAAGTTATTAGTTTTGTTATATATAAAAGGTCAGCAAACAAGCATAGGGCCAGCCAGATGATAAGCGGCTGCTTTTGCCTATAGAAGAGACGCTAGCGATGCGATGGCAATAGATTTACAGGCAGACCTCGACTTACGTCGTTTCAAGTTACGTCAAAAAATGTTTTGACACTTCCTCAGGCATACGTCAATTGTTTCGATTTCCGGCATAGGAGAATTCACCTGTCGCGAGGGCAATGTCTAAGAATAGGATAGGGGAGATATAGACTCTACTACAAGTGGAAGTGTCCCTCTAATAGAAAGAGAAAGAAGATGAGAGACCGCTAGCTTTCTCTTTCTAATCGCGCATGCGCATTGGCAACCGTAAGCATTTTACTATTTCAATGTGATGCTTGGACCAACTATTGGACAGATGACTGCGCATGCGACACAAGAGAGAGATAGCTAGCGGTCTCTCATCTTCTTTCTCTTTCTACTAGACCGACACTTTTAGAGCCGTCTTCGCCTATTCTTATGCCTCTATGGAATTATGGCCTACGGGTGTCCTAGTAATCTGTTCACAACATATTCATAGCGGTCTCCGGTCTTGACCACTCGTTGCGCGTTGGCGAATGATGGAGGCAAATGGTAGAATAATTGTCAAGTTTATGTCAGATATTTTCAAGATTTTTTCTCAATCATTTTAAAATACAGATAGGATGACGATTTGTTGCGACATTTTGATCTTTTCTTACAAAAAAGGCAAAATATTAAATAACCAATAATTAAGAATTATACGTTTAATTTTTTAACAGCGGCAATTACTGCTTCTTATGATTTTCCGTGAAATTAATAAAAATAAATATTATGTATTAAACTGGTAACACTGTAGATGAACGATTTAAAAATACGGAAAATCAGTATCATGCCACTTGGTAGGCGAAAGTGACTTAAGTCGCATTCGACGATACTATGTCAGGGGAGTGAATCAAAAATAGAGCTCCTGGTCTGTATTTTAAAATAAGATAACTATATGAGAACGAGCTGTCCCAGAGAACTTCGTACCTCCATAAAAAAGGGGTTGGTGGTAGAAGGGTGAAAATTTAGGGTTGTGTGTATTTTGAATGATGTAAGTATCATAAAAATATAAAAACAAAAAAAAATTAAGGTTGGACCACCCTTCACATTAAGGGGGATGAAAATAGATGTCCGATTCTCAGACCTACTGAATATGCATATAAAATTTCACGAAAATCGGTCAAGCCGTTTCGGAGTAGTTCAATTACGCACACCGTGACACGAGAATTTTTTATAGTAGGCTAGATAGAATACTCTTTAATTGCATTAAAAAGGATTGAAAAAAGGTGTTCGCATATAATGCATATGTTAAGCTTGTTTAGGAACTACCTATTTAGCCATTAATATGGCGAATAAATTTTTGGCATGCTATTAATATACCATACCAAAAATTCTAACATATTAAAATATAACAGTTATATTACAGTATTATCATTTTACCTATCATTCATAATAACAATTATTATATCATTATAATTTAAATTCAAACTTATGTCAATATTAATTACAATTCCCAATGTCAGTTCAAATAAAATATTTTAAGTCAATTTACTATGATACACCTATAATAACAATTACTTTATTTTGATAATTTTAGAAGAGTATTATTTAATTCAATGTCAACTTTATGTGTTGAATTTAAACTCTTCGCTTTAGTTCTTGTTCTGGTGCTCTATTTTTGAATCACTCGTCTGACATAGTATCGTCGAAAGCGACATAAGTCACCTTTGACTTTCAAGTCGCTTAATACTGTTTTTCCGTATTTTTGAATCACTCGTCACCAGTGTTACCTGTTTGATACGAAATTTTACTCATTCCACGCAGAAAAAATAAAAACCGGTAATTACCGCAATGAAAACCGAACAAAAAATTCTCGTCGTTTCATATAAAGCATGATAATGATAGATTATCGTCGTCTAATAGCACAAACCACCATTCGCCTTGCAGCGAGTGGTCTCACCCATTCGTTGCACTCGAGCGATTCAAAAATACGGAAATAATTATGTCGAAAGAAATTTAGTAAAATCGAGCGTTCGACGCAAGACGAGTGATTCAAAAATAGAGCTCCTGATTTAATTGATATTTATTCAAGCATATTATTATATCTTTAATACTGACACTCTAATTCCTTTCTAACTGTATGAACATAGGCTCGAATTACAGAATGACAACTATATAAGTGTTGATCTTTAACACTTATATAGTTGTCATTCTGTAATTCGAGCCTATGTTTATACTAATGGTGAGTTAAATAGAAGAAAAACTACTTCCCCCTTATAAATAAACTAAGACTACTGCATGGATTTGTTAATCCATGTTTTATCTCTGTCTATTGAATGACAAATGGCATTTGAGTGACATGAACAAAACACGGCATAACCGGTCTAAGCTTATTCCTTGTTTATTAATAAGGGGGTCTATACTTATTTCAGACGGTAAAGCGGTTGCGGGAAACATTATGCCCTCCCAACGGCGAAGGACCCTCTTCATCATCGTCATCATTGCACACCAATGGAGCAGGCGCGAGTTCTAGCACGACGGAACCAAAGCCAGCTGCTTCAGACATATCGCATCTAATAAAACGGAAGCGGAAGTCAAGCGAAGGCGACGCTGGTGCCTCCGCACCCAAGCGGGCGAACACGTGAACTAATTGTGCTAGAACAGTATACGGGTCGGTAGGCTGATAGAGGAAAATTGAGAGAACAAAATTAATGAAAATTTTAGTAGTTATATATGTGTGATTCATGACGAATATGAATGTCACTTGAAGGGGTGAGTGGACAAAGGCCTTAACTAACAAAAAGTTCAAAATGAGTTATGAGTGTTTGAAAATGTTAAATAATAAAATCAATGTAGCTTTAACAGTCTAAAGTTTTATAGAAAACTTAAGTATGAATACTTTTGAAAATACTATTAATTTATAGATTGTACAGAAGAAAAGGGTGTTTTTATTATATTTATTAATTATAGAGAAAATATTAACACTGTTGACATAAAGAGCGAGATGCAACCTGCTTTATGAATGAGGGTGAAAGAGACTACTTTAGTACACTATTGGCAGCTGTTGAAAAGACAATTTTATAATGCAATAATGGTGTCGAATCTGCCGTGATTCTCTAAACTTAAAACTAAATTTAACATCAGTTTCTCCTTTTCATTATGTATAGAGAATGACAAAGATACACTGTTGTCAAATTTAAGTTTAGGGTTAGAGAATCATGCCGGAATCGACACCAATGTTGGCGTATAACCTGCCTATATATGATACGTAATTGCTTTTAACGAATTATAACGAATTATGCAATATATACGAACCTGCCTCACAGGCACTTTTTTATGTTATTGTAAATCTCATGAATCTTCAAACACCTGCTAAGAATACTTAAGAGACATTTAAAATTGACAGATCAGTTTGGCGGGATCAAACGAAAAGTCACTGTCAAATGCTATAAAATATATCAGACAAAACAATACATTGAATTAAACAAATTCCAACAATGGAGATTAAAGACGTTACCACCGTTGCATTATAGGTTTTGAGAAAATAATAATTATTTTTGTATCAGCAAACATACCACACAGCATATAACACCTTTGTATATTTTTGTTGTTTGTGTAGATGGAAAAGGCATATCATTCATCTCCTTATATTATATATTTTAAACGTATTACTGTAAATGATTTTTGGAATATGTATGTGTTCATACCACATTTGCAATCTAGAAATGTATGCATGTTTGTCAGTTAACACCTTTGTTAGGGTCTGTATTTTTGATACGAATCAAAATTTCCGTGTTTTGAGCTCATCAATCGATTTCTCATCACTTGAAACCTATGTTCATGCAAATAGGTAGATTTTTGCAATTTTGTCAGATAGCACCTTTGTCCACTCACCCCTTCAATTCATAAACTGGCAATAAATTTTCTTGTAATATTTAAGTATGCGTGTGTTCTTTCAGTCCTAGTAGTTCGTATTATTAGAAATTACTAACTTAAAAAGTTCCATGTAATTTGTTTGTTTATTTTAATAGAATTAGAGTCAAACAGCAACGATTGTTACTTAACGATGACCTATTTATTTCAATAAAAAATATTTTTTTTTGTCTGGCAAGGAACGAGTAGATTATTTTCTAGTATCTTTTTTTAATAAAAATTTGCCAATTCGGTAGGTACTTTTTTATGCTGGACATTGATGTGCCTTCTCTAAATAGCGACGTTATTTCCATGATGATTTTTTTTTCATTTTTACTGTCATCTATATAAGCTAATGACGAATATATTTTAATGAATCATTAGATGCTGACGAATATATTTTAATGAATCATTAGGTGATTAATATACACCTCTAAAGTATCAAGTTTTCTCAATCGATTCAACCAAATTTTAACATTTTGTTCACAGATTAATAATTAATTTTATACTATTTTACAATCGGTCGGGAAAATTTGACACTTTGGGATGACCCCGATACGATACTGAATAAACAAACGAGCTTTGTTTTTCAAAATAACTATAAATTAATACATAGATTCATTTGACGTTATATTTGTCTAATTAGTAGCTGCTCATTGAATTGCTTTGTGAATGCTTCAATGTTTTATATACAGGTTTTAGCAAATTACTGCCCTGATGTTAAATGTGATGAACAGACAGCCATTCGTCAAGTTACTACAAATTGAACTTATTTTTGAAAAAAAGATTTAGAATCGTATGTCGAGCAATATAAAGCTCAAATTATTATCATTTGGATTGTATAAGTTCGTCAGTTTTGGGGATCATGTTACCCAAAACTGTCAAATTAATCCAATCCAAATCCAAAAAATCCTTTGGCTGTCTGTTTCTTAGTGGTGCATTTGAAACTTAAATATTATTTGATTATTTTTAACTATTCTCTCTTATTGACGTATGTTAATTAATCCTCTGTCAGCGGTCCCGTTACTATTATTTTATTTCAAACGTAATAATCGGACAGTCGTGTATTTGAGTACAAACATTTTTGTGTTTGTGAAAGAAAGATTTAGGGAAGAATTATACTTTCTTCGTTTTGTTTTATTGTTAATACTACTGAAAATTTGTCTCTAATAAGAAACCCTTTTAAAAAGAAAATAGAAGGTTACATTTAATATTGTTTAATATTTTTTTAAATCTAAAAGTCGTGTTTAGTTGAAATTATTTATAACTTGAAACTTGCAGAGCTTCTACACACATTTTTTTCATTGAACCGTCGCATCTGACATCGGCGTTGTAATTTGTGTTATATTACTATGTTAATAAGGTTTTTTTTATCTATTGATTCCCGTTGCTTGATTTAGGTTATCGGATGAAACAAAATATAATTTTGTTAAGTCTAGAAATCATAAGCAGTTTCATATACATATAGTTCGGTAAATGCTTATAAATAAAAGTATGTGTTGTTAGAAATATAATCCAGAATAAGTCTGATTTAATGTTATAAATAAATTTCAGTAACCAGTGAATGTTGTAATGCCCCAATTAAAAATTAAAAAGGATTGCATTTTTTCACTTTGATTAATAAGAAATAAGGATGAAGGTGATGTAACATTTTAAAATAAGTATTTATAGTTTCCTGAAAGATATTTTTTTTTGTCATCAAATTTGTATTTTCTCGGTATATTCCATCGTTATTTAAGGGCGATTCTTTTATGCTTGTATCGATTTCATCAGTGCGACCAAATTCTTGCGGTGCGTGGTCGACATCAGAACTAATTTTAAAACGGTATAAAGAAGCCTTTTATTTTAGAGGAATTTCCTATTACTCTTTCCGAGCTATTATAAATTATAAAATTCCCTAAAGTTAGGAGATTTTACGTACCTGTCTCCTGGCCAACGTCAAAAAACCCCTGTCTGTGGAGATGGCAGATTTCTGCTACGAGTTGATAAAATTATTGCGCTGTTTTAAAATCCTCATATTTTGCGTTTTACCTTAATTAGGAATGGTTTTTAATTTACACATCTAATTTCAATATGTAGATAAGTTTGAAGAGAAACTATTCAGGCTTGATTTAAGGCATAAATGAATCTTGGATATACAGAAGAACACGAATAATAAGAGGAAAATCGGTCGGAAAATGTTTTGATGTTGAAAATCAAAATGGAGGGCTAACAAAGACAGGGTTTTGAGCGCCATTTTTCTTATTTCACCACTTGTTCACCAGCCCCCCTAGCGTGAGCAGCGCGATATGATATATAGCTCGTTTTTATCACGTTCAATTGTCAAATTCCTATGGCGTTTGACAGTTAGACGCGATAAAAAGCGTGATATAATGTAAATTGTGCTCATGATACAGGGACAGAAGCGCCCTCCTGTCAACGCCATAAAAGTGACACGAGACTTAATCGTATTGTATTTTGGGATTTGTCATCATACATATATACATATTCATTGTTAAATTCAATTTATAAAAAATTTTTTTTGGGTAATAATAGTGAGGAAGTATCTGTAAAATATTATTTTAATAAGCTAGAATTTAGGACCTTATCACAGTTAATGTTGTTAAAATTATTTAATTTTAGATAGGAGCATCTTTATACTTGTAGTTAAGATATATACCTATTACTTTATGTGACACTGATCTAGTAAACATTTTCTTTTTGTCTTTGGAACTGAATCTTAGCTTTCACAAGACTATAAGAAAGCTTAGTTATTTATAGTAGGTTTAAAGTCGACTTTTGATAGTTAACACTGTTTAGATTAAGTCTAAGTTCAGATATGGCCTTATACATGTATAATTCCAGTCTAGATTTTTTTCAGATTGAGTAACAACTCAATCTTACTTACAAAGTTTCACATTTATGACATTAGTAGGATTAAGTTAAATCTTAAAAGCTGTGTGAACTTAGCTTATTAGCCGAAGAATTATGTTGTAGTAGACCTAACGTCGTTTTTAATATAAGGATGAGTTTTGATGTCTTGTTTTTAATTACCCATAGATATTATAAGGAAATTCTTTATTTGAAGTTTGGTATTTCGTTGTTAATGAGAGAGTTCAATTTACAAAGTAAATAGTATTCGACAAGCAATATTATATTCTAGACTCGACTTATCCTCCCTCGTACATTTTAATCACATCAGATGATTGTGCCTTATTTAGGTATGATTTATCTGATGCTGACTGTACTTGCATCTACTATTAAACCTCTAAATAAGTACTCATAGAGAAAGTTATCACCTGACAGAATATTGGCAGAAGTTTTTATGTCATCATAATGATGTTTGCATTGCACTTGTCAAATTGTTAAGTTTTTATCAAAACAATATTTAGAGAATTCATTTCATTAATTCAATAGAACAAAAAAATCTTGATCGATCGTAATGGCGAGTGGGGATAAGCCAGACTTGCCGAAGCATATGACCTACTCTAAATCCAGGGTGCCTATCTTTGGTGCTCTTATAGATTATATGGAAACCAGTCTAGTATATTTGAGGCAAAAAACCTTCGCCAGAGCCGAGAATTTGAACGCCAAAGCTTCCAGAGCAACACTCTCCGCTGCATTCATGGCTACAGTCTGCCTTGTAATGGGGTTGACGAGTAACGTGAAGTTCGAGATAGTGAAGTTCGATGAGGAGCCGCTGCCAAACGATTTACACTTCATGCTGATGAGCAAAGATGAGAAACTATATATTGACGATATAGATGTTTCCAGTAAGTGGTGTCGATTCTGGCATGATTATCTAAAGCTAAACTTAAATTTGACAACAGTGTATCCTTGTCATTCTCTTTAAAGAATAAAAAGGAGAGACTGATGTCAAATTTAGTTTTAAGTTTAAAGACTCACGCCAGAATCGACACCAGTATATTTTTACCCGACTGCCAAAGAGGGAGGGTAATGTTTAGGGAGTGTATGTAAGTATGTATGTATGTCTGTTCCTTTGTGACCTCCTGTAGCCTAAACGGCTTGATGGATTTTGATGTATGAGGTATCGTTAGATTTGTCTTGATTACGGGAGTGTCATAGGATACATTTTATCCTAAAAGTCCCACGGGATAAAGACATAATAATATTTTTTCTAAATTTCCCTTTAAAAAAATATGTATGCGGTATCATTAGATTCATTTTTAGACTGTCTTAAGGTACTTAATAATTCCCGCGATATTAATTCCCTTACTGAAGTAACAAGACTACGGTATATACCGTCTTAAAATACTAACTAACTAAAAAGTGTGAAATAAAAAAGGTAAATTTAAAAAATCAAAAAACCCGACTGCTTAATTATACTTCAAATAAAAACTGAAAAGAAAAAAACAAGTCCAGTAGTCTATAATTCTGTTAATAAGGAACAAAGCTACTTTAACAGTCGGGACCCACTGTTGAAAAATATTATGTATTCTTGAATATCTAATGGGTCCCGACTGTTAAAGTAGCTTTGTTCCTTATTAACAGAATTATAGACTACTGGACTTGTTTTTTTCTTTTCAGTTTTTATTTGAAGTATAATTAAGCAGTCGGGTTTTTTGATTTTTTAAATTTACCTTTTTTTTTATCAGTTTTTTTTACACACACCAATTAGCTTAGCCCCAAAGTAAGCACTGTATGGCTTGTGTTATGGGATACAAGGGTAACGGATAGAATACATATACAGTACATATATAAGTATATTTATATAGAAATACATATTAAACATCCATGACTGGAGTACAAATGCTCGTATTCATCACACAAACATCTGCCCCCACCGGGATTCGAACCCAGGACCTCTCGAGAGTTCATATCTAAATCTCAGGTCTACTGTCCCTTGGAGCTGGGAAAAAATCAAACTTCTAAGCCAAAGCAGCCAAAAAATACAGCCGTTTATGCCCCAAACCGCAAATTTTCGAAACTCGCACGTGAATCAAAACCTACGGGGTATTTCCCGTGAACTAAGAATCTTGAAATTTGATCGTCCTACGTACGTCTTATAGTACAGATAAAGGAAAAATTGCGAAAACCGTAAATTTTTAGGTACTTACATCATATAATAAAAATATTTTTTAATAATTATTAAAATATACCTACAGTTTTGTACGGAACCCTAACCCGTGCGAGAGTCCGACTCGCACATGGCCGGTTACAGCATATCTATCTTAGTAACTTTTACTTAAACACTGGTTTATTCCAGGAGTCATGTGGTGCCTTGAAGCTTCTGATGCGTTAGTCATACTCATTAGTTGCCTGCTGATATTGAATTCTTCCTATGTGGTAAGCAGATATAAAATTATGAAAATGAAAACATATTTTAATATTTGGTTATTTTTTTATAATATTCATAAATTGGTAATTTAATCTTAATAAACAATAAAAGGTACCAAATAGTATTAGAACATCTTTGCCACATAAATGTTAAAAGTAACCATAGTACTGGTGTCCGCTTAAATTGACCGAATGTTATCTTCATCCAATCGATTTCTTACGCGTTTTACATCTTATCACTTAGTTATCATAATAAATTTATGATCAATTAACTTCATATACATTTCATTTCATTGTGAGTTATGGCATTTTTTTTTAAATCCATAATTACATGGTAATGGGGAAACAATTACGTAAAGTTCTTATTATACTTTCACAACAGCTTTTCCTTTATTCTCACCAGCCAACATACCGATAAAAGCATCGAACAGTTTATCAAAACCTTCTGTTACGTGTTCTTCAGCTTTTAACTGGCCACTCTTGATCCATTTCACTAGGTCCCCGAAAGCTTCATTCCAATTTTCCCAACGCCACACTAAGAAACCTTCAACCTTCAGTTGCTTGAATACCAGGGAAGGCTGTATAATTGTAGCCTTTGGCAACTGTGTCGGGTCTTCATTGTAGGAACTGATGCTACCACACACGGAAACTCGTCCGTACAGATTCATCTGACTCATGATGATACTGCTAATTTCTCCACCAACGTTATCGAAGTAGCAGTCCACCCCTTTTGGAGCTGCTTCTTTCAGAGCCTTAGCCACGTCAACAGTCTTATAGTTTAAAGCTTTGTCGAATCCCAAATCTTGTTCCAGCCACTTAACTTTGTCATCGGAACCAGCGAAGCCTATCACTCGGCATCCTTTGATTTTAGCAATTTGTCCAACAATGGAGCCTACTGCTCCGGCGGCGCCTGTGACGACTACAGTTTCCCCTGCCTTGGGCTTGCAAATGTCTAGAAAACCGTAGTAAGCAGTTACTCCGGGCATACCAACCGCACCGCAACCTAGAGAAGGCGACAAGCCGTCAAGATTTGGTAGCTTATACATTCTTGGTTCAGATTTTGGATTTAGAACAATGTAATCAACCCAACCTCTATGTGACACGACTCTTGATCCCACTGGGTAGTCGGCATTCTTACTTTCCACCACGGCAGCGACTTGGTAGCTAAACTGATCGTAGGGTACCGTTTGTCCAGCATTGTAAGCCCGTAAGTAGGGGTCCACACTGATCCACTCTGCTTTTACCAAAATCTCTCCATCCTTCAGCGGCGGAAGCTCCTGTTCTACTAATTCGTAATCAGTTTTCTTTGGAACTCCTTGAAAATGCTTCTTTACGACGTACTTCCTTGATTTCACCATTATGAAGTAGTTTGAACCTGAAATTTAACAAATAACAGCTTTAAACTACTTAGTTATAATAAGCTAGTTAGGATTTTTTTCGGAATTGACTGACAAAGCAGACTTCTGCCGGCCTATTTGCTTACTTTTTTGACACTGTAAATGTGAGTGTAACTAGAAAATTGCATATCCATCGATGCTTTACAAAACAAGTATATTAGTGGCGTTATAATAAAGCAGTAAAGGTTATTAAATAGTTTGGTGATTATCACTTCCATCTTGGATCTGCTGATATTGGACTTCTTAGCTCTTAATAACAAGATTGCCTGATGGCTAGGTAATAGCTCAATTACACTTGGTCGTTAGCCCGAATACGATTGCCAATGGAATTCGGCTAAACGACTATATAAGTGTAAATAAACAGATTAGAGTAAGCCCGTATTCGGGTAATTTTCGTTTTGGTTACCCGGCACCGTCTTCCAGCCCGTATTCCAGTGTAAATATTGCTTTGGGTTCCCGAATTCGAGTAATGTCTTTCGTGCACTCGAATACCGGCTAACGACCAAGTGTAATCGAGCCATAGGTTGATAAAGAACGAAACAAGCCCCTACAAGCATGACCACCGAAACGGGATATGATAAAGCGATATATCGACATTAACTGTCAGACTACTGTCAAACTCCATAGTAGTCTGACAGTTAATGTCGATATATCGCTTTATCATATCCCGTTTCAGTGGTCATGCTAGAGGGGCTGGAACTTCAACAAATTAACAAGTTTATTGTAAGTACCTATTAAGTATAGTAGCAGTAGTTTTACGAACAGTAAAACCACAGTTGGTAAATCTGGTTACATCTACCTACTTAGTTAGGACATTTTTTGTGTTTAAATTATTGAGACCATTGCGGTGCGGTCTAATTGAATGAAAAAGGTTGAAATTCTATAATCTTGTCATTCATTACTTACAATAAATGATAATTAATTGTAAACAGGCATAAGTGATTTATGTACTTTATTTTTGACAAAATGGTAATTTAGAAATGTAGCATTTTTATGCTTTAACAAGGAAGATACTTTTATGTTACTATGAACTTCCTGATAATGGAATAGCCGGTGTCCGCGACCTTTGATAAAATCAAAGCCCACGACTTAAAAAATGCGAATTGTGATTATAATTCTAAATTTAGCGTTCGAAAACAATCCCCGCCGGCGATATCACAGATAAACTTTTAATTGAACAAAATACAGAAAATGATCGCTTATAAAAAGTGTCAGTAGACGAAACTACAGCAAAACTTAAACTTACCTATATAATTTCTAATAATTTGACCACAGTATCACTATATTTTCAATAAATTGAGCAGAATATAACGATAGCAACGAATAAAACCGGCCGGCGAGTCGCGTTGCCACTGATCCACTAATCGAATATTATCATGCCGTGCCGTCACCGCTGCGTTTTTGTATGTGAATCAAGTGTGAATGGACTTTGTATCTTCTATCCAACTCGTATGTGCTTGAGATTGAACGACCTTCACTGTGTTTACGCCAAGCAGGTGATTTGCACCTACCAACTTTTTATGTAATAACCGATAAGTTTTTTAGGGTTCCGAGTCAACAAGGAACTCTTATAGTTTTACCTATGTCATGTCTGCCTGCCGCAGCGCAGTGTAGTTCAGATATTATTACTACAACAATGCTGTTAATTTCCATAGATGCATGCTTATTGTTTAGGTCATTAGGCATTGTCCTAATACAACGCGATAACGCGAATGAGCGATGCGATCATCGTACGATTCGACGATCAAACATATTGATCTAGAATAGGTGTCCTAATAGGCGATCGCGCGATGCATTCGCGCGACTAAAATGTTTAAAAATCTATTCGCGCGAACTTAGTTCACGCGAACGCGCAATCAAACCTATTAATGATGAATAGGTGTCCTAACTGAAGTTCGCGCGATGATCGCGTCGCGTCGATAGGAAGCGGGGAGAGGGGCAGGGCTAATCCGTTCCGTATTCGCGTTCTATTAGAACACCCAGTTCGCGATTACGCGATGGTCGCATCGTTTAATCGCGCGATGATCGCGTAATCGCGTTGTATTAGGACAATGCCTTAGGCAGACTATGCGATATATACCTAACAGGGTCGATAATTTTTGATAGCATAAAAAACGGAACAGTATGAATATGAAACACATACCAAAAGGGGGAGAACACATTAAAAGATACAAAAAATAAATTACGGACTATTTGAGCTTTATCGAAGAAATTCCAATGGCAAATTGTAAGTAATTAAAAGATCTAGAACTTTTTTATTCACTTTTTTTCACATAACCTAAATTTCTGCGAAAAATCAAAATAACCGATATTAGTTTTTAATTAAATAATTCGATAGAAGTTAGTAGCAGTAGTTTTGTCTTCAGCACACAAACACAATTTGATTCTGATTTTTATAGAGGAAACACGTTTTGACTGAACGAACTCACGGAATTTGAAGAGGACACATTGCAGTGGCTATCTTTGCTTTGGTGTTTATTAAAAAAAGACGACGCTGACGTCAGCATAGTCGTCAAAATTGAATTTATCTATTAGGTACATCGTACACACCGATACCACGGTAATATTATCTATATATATAATATTACCGTGCCGACTGCGGAGTGGTTGGTATCATCACAAGTGATTGATATTAAGGATAAAATGCGATCTGTTTGAACTTAACAATTAATTTTAATACAAAAATTTGCGCCCGCCCACCAAGTATTTTGTTTGTGATATGGTTTTGGTACGTGTGAAACAACCCTACTTTATTACATAGCCACATGTAATTATTGTTGAAGCGGCCAGTAATAGATATCTGAGAATAAATTGTCTGCCTCTATGTAAGCAATTTGCGCTTTGTGATTGAGCAACTTCACGGACGGAACCTTATATTGCTCGTTGCCGATACGCATTTGGTCGGTTTATACTTTTATCGAGATATTAAAGAGAATGACAATTCATTTTTTATATCTAAATGTAGTGACTAATATTTTTTTCTTTACTTTTGAAGTATTTGATATCTTTTCTGAGTTAAGCGTGAAAATGTAATCTGTCTGGATAAATTAATATTGTGCAATATCACATAACATTTGTTTACTTTATTCAAGCTCGGAAATTAGGGATTCTGCCCCTCTAGCATGACCACCGAAACGGAATATGATAAAGCGATATATCGGCATTAACTGTCAGACTACAGTGGAGTTTGACAGTAGTCTGACAGATAATGCCGATATATTGCTTTATCATATCCCGTTTCGGTGGTCATGCTAGAGGGGCTGGAGTAGGTAGATTAATATCATTCAAAGGAGTCTACTTCCATAATATCATTCAAAGGAACTAACAATCGAATAAATAAGAGATGTATGGAATAGCGAATTTTCTCTGCCTTCTGGATAATTAACCTCCACTTCACAAAAGATCTCAGTAAATAACACACCTCTGGTGGGCTTTTGTTGATGAGCAAGATACCTGAGCTCCTGAAAGTATTAGATTAGGTTCAGGCCGAAGTATGAACTATAGAATTAGCCAGGCAAGTTCTGTTGTCAGAGTAAGACATCATATACGCACAATAGAGGGGCATCTTGCATCAACCGCTGTTTTTCCTGGCGTTAAGAGTTCGTGATAGGACCTCTGAAAAGGGCCGATTTACTCTTGGGAAACTTCCAAGGAGGTACAGAGTACTTTCAAGTTATTTCTCGTGATAACTACATTTTCATTTATAAAATCATTATTCTACTAAAAGTACCAAGAGACTTAAGAGGTTCTGGTTCCGAAAATAGAAAAAAAGGAAATGCAAAGGTGTTGCCAGCATCTTCGAACCCTATCCGTATCCGACCGCAACATCAACCCGTTGTTTCAATATTGCAGAGGTCCCCGTTGAATAAATACCTGTTTCTGCCGTGGCTGGGGGCAACGCTACTCGAGCTGTTCCTCAGACAGGCGCCCACCGCAGGCGCTCTCCTTTACATCATGGCGGTCATCAATGGCAACATCAACCCGTTGTTCCAATATTGCAGAGGTCCCGGTTTAGTGAATACCTGTTTCTGCCGTGGCTGGGGGCAACGCTACGCGGGCTGATCCTCAGATAGAGACGCCCACCGCAAGCGCTCTCCTTTACACCATGGCGGTCATCAATGGCATCATCAACCCGTTATTTCAATATTGCAGAGGTCCCCGTTGAGTGAATACCTGTTTCTGCCGTGGCTGGGGGCAACGCTACGTGGGCTGATCTTCAGATAGGCGCCCACCGCAGGCGCTCTCCTTTACACCACGGCGGTCATCAATGGCATCATCAAGCCGTTGTTTCAATATTGAAGAGGTCCCCGTTGAGTGAATACCTGTTTTTGCCGTGGCTGGGGGCAACGCTATGCGGGCTGTTCCTTAGACAGGCGCCCACCGCAGGCGCTCTCCTTTACACCATGGCGGTCATGAATGGCAACATCAACCCGTTGTTTCAATATTCCAGAGGTCCCCGTTGAGTGAATACCTGTTTCTGCCGTGGCTGGGGGCAACGCTACGCGGCCTATTCCTCAGGCAGGCGCCCACCGCGGGTGCTCTCCTTTACACCATGGCGGTCGTCAATGGCAACATCAACCCCTTGTTTCTGACTGCCTTCTCTTTCCTTTTCCGTAAGTTTAACCCAAGAACAAGGCTTTTATTCCCTGCAGTTCCATAGTATATCCTAGCAAGGAATCCTTATTTTCGCATGGTGATATACTAAATACCTACTCAGTGGGGGATAAATTATATCCATACAGAATTTCATGCTTTTTATATTCATCAGCCTATTATTGTCTCCACTACTGGCGCACAGGCCTTTCGGATTGATGGAATAGGGAGATTAGGCCATCATAGGCCATGTGCGGATTGGAAGGTGCTATGCTGATGACACATGCTGAGGCCATACCAACGGGAAATGCCATTAATTGTCGCGATTATGAACGTTTAGGGCCCAGACCGTTAAGCTACAGTACGCGATTTGAGTACATATTTTATCAATTTCCCGTTAGTGTGGCCCCAGCCTCAGTAGTGGAGACGAAATGAGAATCCGCGAATCCGATCAAGTCCATACAAAAAAGGCTAGCAGTTAATGTCCCGCTCTTTTCTCCTTCAGTACTAGAAGCTCGGATGTGGCTGGAGATCGCTCGGCTGGTTCGTACACGCTGGGAGCGCAGGGACCACATCAACTCGGTGAGGGATGCCCAGTACGAAGTGGAGACTTTATGGAGCAACGACGATGTACAGAGCGTTGAAGTTCGCAACTACGTGTATTAGAATGTCTAGGTGCAGATAGGCAGTGGCCTAGCTACATATAAAAACAAGTACTCACAATCTCGGTCAAAAAGTGTCGGAAGCAAAATTACGCACATTCGTCAATTGTGCGTAACAGTTTTGTTTGAAAGTTCTCGCTCGTATACGTATACAATTGACATTATATCCACAAGCATTTGGGTCGTCCCAATTTTTATTATTCAATTTAAAACCTTTTAAAGTATTAATAATACTCTGTTAACATAATGGAGTAACAATGAATAGAGTTTCTTTTGCTGACGATATTCGCACACAAATCCACGAATCTTGTGCCTATGAATAAATAAATAAAAGTGATTCTAAAGATAAATTAATAGTTTAATTAAAGACTTAAGAAGAAACCAATATAAAATACTTATAAATCTAAGATAAAATCTATACAAAAATTAAGTCTACCTTATAAAAGTTTATATCCATATCACAATTGAACTTTGGTTTTTATTTTGGTTTGATTTTATCTAAACTACTATGATTATTAATTTGTAGGTGGATGAAGTTATTTTATGGCCCTCTTTTGTGTGCAGCGAAAAAAATCTTTTTTTATTGTCGCATCATAAATCATTTGGTGGTCTAATCAGTTTTAAATTCAACGGTCAGTTAACTACTGACTCCAAATCGGTCAGTACCGGCGTACGAGGACTGATTCGCAGTGGTTTAAGACAGGAACAGACTTATAAAAACGCGACGCCACCCAATGCGACGCAACCTCACGCCACGCCACGCGTGTTGAGTCAAAACAAAATATACTATTTTCTATGATTAGAATCACATTAAAAACGCGATGCGCCATAGAAAATACGCATGGCGATGGCGTGGCGTCGCGTTTCATAAGTCTGTTTCTGTCTTTACTGTTGGCACTGTACTGTCTCCAAATCAATTTACACTGTCAGTATCGGGTCAGCACCAACTTGACTCTTTGGAATGAGTAACCCCTTCTAAAACTGCCTTCATACTTAGGGTATTGTTAAAGCTTTACAGATATTTTTCTTTGTTGTGTTACCACACTGTGCATTTATGTATGGGGTTCATTGGAGAGCCTGGAGGGCACTGGAACTCCCTGGCGAAGTCATGGGAGTTGGACAGGGTTCCTATGACGCGGAATCTTCCCGGGGAGTGGACGGCAGTCTTCAGTTTGTTACGCATCGCCTCTGGACGCATGGCACCACACCAAACCTGTACATATCATGGTATAGTTGCGCTTCACGATCAAAAGGTCTATGTAGCAAAAAGTCTAACACCGCGAAACGTCTAATGAGCAGAAAATCTAATTAGTAAAATGTCCAACGTCCAACGGGTGACCAATCATGGCGAGGACTTTCACCTTATGTTGTCCAAGTTCCTCCCATTCGCACGAAGTGATTTGCTTCCGCTTTCATTATGAGAACGGCTAGGGAGTGGAACCCCTTGCCGAGGTCTGTTTTCCCGGATCAATATAATCTGGTCATTTTCAAGACCAGAGTAAACAGGCATCGCCTAGGCAGGTGTGTGCCATCCTAGGCCTCATCATCGCTTTCCATCAGGCGAGATTGTTGTCAAATGCCTTGCCTATTAAGCATTAAAAAAACAGACGTATCATTATTTTAAAATTATGTGACAGACAGTAATACTTATTAATAAACTTGTGGAAATTTATTTGTTATAAAAAAATGTGGTGATACATACAGACATTTTGAGAATATGAAGATTTGCTAAATAGACGTTCTGCTATAAAGACCATCTGAGTGTTGGACGTTTTGCTACATGTACATGTTCATGACGTTTCGCGGTGTTAGATGTTTTGCTACTTAGACCTTTTGATCATGTAGAATTGTTGCTGGTACGATGTAAAAATACATTATCTATAACACTTATAGTTATCGAATATGTATCATGAGAGTTTGACCTCTCACGAACCAAGAGCGCAGTCCACCCACTCGCTTACTTCTAATCATCCATCCCCTTACGTCGAGTCGTTCATCTGCGTACGTTTAGTCGTCCGCCCGGTTACGTCTAGAAGCCCATTACTTACCTACTTATAGTAAGGTAACATGTAGTTTGATCAATATCAGTATTGAATTTTATATTTACTTTAAATTTTGCTTTTTCTTTACTTTTATTGTCTATTTACTCATATAATTATATACTTAATATCTCTGATTAGATTATCTTCCTATTATTTCTTTTTATTGATCTGTACATCATAGACTCAATCAATACCAAATGTGGTGTTGTTCATGTTCAAGTATGTATGTTTGCAATAAAACGCATAATTAACCATGATTGCTTTAGCTGGACTCGGATTTGCTATCAAAAAATCATGAACTGGGAGTGACTTGTTCTTATACCATATTTTAAGTTACAAACCTGTGCAAAATTAAGGAAGAAGAGTTGAGTATGCGTGTGGTTTAGGCCCGGTAGCGTTTCTCCTTCAGCACCGTGCTTTTGCAACCAGTGCAAGTATGCCCGAAATGCCTGCTTCACGCCGCCGTTGTCAGCTATGTTCTCGCCCTGAAATTGGAAGATAGTAATCAATCAAAATCAGGCTATGCTGTTTGCACTGTGTCGTGCTATGATATTTTTAGTTAACTACCACCTTATTCCAAAACGCGGCCTAAGGTAAGTCTTGGTTTAAACCTAATGCTGTCTCTGTCTTCTTTTTAGAAAACAAAAGTGAAAGCTACTATTTAAGTCCATATTTAACTTTAGTGTACGTTTTGTAATAAGCCGGTTAGAGTCTAGATATGCGCTGCACTTTATGAGACCATGTTATGTTTCTTTGGTTGAACTGGTCGGCTTGTATAAGGTTAATGGTTTCGGTAGCTTTATTGAAAGAATAAACGATCGGCAAGGCATTGTTTACGTTATGGGTTTTGGTTTGAATTTGAGCGTAGCTATGGCAAGTTTTCATATTATTTTATTTTATTGTTTATTTTAGAGCCAGGTAGGCAAATGACTCTACCGCACCTGATGTTAAGCGGTGATAAAGTCCGAACGCGAAAATAGCTGGTACAGCAGTTATAAACGGCCACTAACGGCACCTTGCTGGTCTGAAAAAAATTTTCTTTACGCCTCTTAAATGACCCCAGATTGTAGGAAGAGGGAACAGGTGCGCTGGCAAAAAGAATTCCACTTGCGAATAGTATGACAAATAAATGAGTCACCAAATTTCTTTGTGTAGGAACAGTGGCTACAGTAAGATACAACATCATATGTATTACAGTTTAGATGTGATGCCCAGTAAAATATAATATAAAAGTTTAGATGTAACATAATTTTATGCAATAGGTACCTATTAAAATACTAATCACACTATATTATAAAGGCGAAAGTTTGTGAGTGTGTGAGTGTGTATGTTTGTTACTTCTTCACGTCTAAACGGCTGGAGTGATTTTATAAAATTTGGTATTGAGTTAGCTGACACCCTAGATTAACACATAGGCTACTTTTATCCCGAAAAAATGTTAGGTTCCACAGGGATTTTCAAGAAACTAAGTTAACGCAGACGAAGTCGCGGGCGACTTCCAGTACATCATAATTGTGAAATTGTACGTTTGTTACACAATCACGCTAAAACTACTGAACCGATTTGAGTGAAATTTGGTACGCATATAGTTTATGAACTGAATTGAGACATGGTATATTTTTTATCGCAGATAAACTACAGGTTCCTGTGGGACTCGAAATAAACTAAAGTTTACGCGGACGACCGCTAGTGTAATATAATGTATAAAGGGGCTGTACTCTTTTACCTGAGTACTGACTCCGTCCAGTTTCATGTTAACCTCTGGCACCACATACTGGCCGTATTGATCGATCAGACACTGAGCTCTCCTGTGGAAGGCTTCGATGGCGGTGTCCGACCACCAGCGATGCAGGTTGCCGTCGCAGTCGAACAGGCGACCTTTATCATCGAATCCGTGGGTAATCTCGTGACCTGGTCAGAATAAAAGAGAAAAGGGTATAAGTCTATGGTTGGTATAGGTAGCGGAAAACTTCTTGAGCAAAACCGCAGACTAATGTACTTGCGCAGTAGACGTTTTTCTATGTAAAATTGCTGATGCACGGGCTTCCTTGTTTATGATCAATCCTCAAGAAGTTTGCCAGGGTATATACCATCAGATATCCAGAAGAGATTCCAGATAATAAAGGCAACATAGTTTATTATATATAAATATTTAGACTGCCAAGGAACGACCCTTCGAAGTGGCGACATCATGAAAACAGATGAGCATAGAGGTCGTTATAAATCCACATCTTTTTATAAGCAAAGTGAACGGGGTACCAGAAAAAAAGTAGCCCGCCAAATATTTAATTTTTAGGTTAGTCTTTGTGATAGATAATATGAAAAAGAATGGGTTGAATAAACAATAAGGACTTACTAAAATGGCAAAAATAAATTTACCAATGACAACCCCAATGCCGCCATAGTTGAGAGACCGTGGGAAATGTCTGTGGTAGAACGGCGGTTGCAGGATCCCGGCGGGAAACATGATCTGATTCTTATTGCGACTGTAGTAGGCGTTCACGACCGCTGGTGCTGTGTTCCATAAAGTTTTGTTTACCGGCTGTCCAATACTGAAAACATTTATTATCATATTAGTATTTAGATTTCCCATCTGTTTTTTTTTCTTTTAAACAGTTTAAGACTAACGAACATAAACAACATAGTTTAAGAGAGGTATAGCGGATTTATCGCTCGTATTGGAGCACCCGTCTGGGGAAGTAACCTCTACCTTACAGTAGACATAACAAGATAACACTACATTTTGGTGTTGTCGTGTTTCTGTCGGTGAGTAAGTTTCCAGGACTCCACGTACGTCCCCACCACGTGGTGTGTTATTTTGTGGGTGTTTAATTGGGTCAGGATAGGCAAAGGTGCGAGTGTTATTTTTTTGGTATTGTAAGCGTCTCTAAGCTATGGTGGCTGCTTACCATTAGGCGGGCCAAACGCTTGTTTGCCAGCCACCCTTTTAACATAAAAAAAGCTTCATCCTGTCTTTCTCCAGAAAATAAATGTAAATTACTTTGAACCTGCCAAAAGTTATAAAACTCACAATATATTACTTGAAACATTTTATTCCTTAGTACAGCTGAAGCGCTCGTCACACCGGGATCGAATCGGAGATAGTTTCGCCATGGATTACTTAGAAATTACTCACCCATACCCATACTGTCGAATCATCTCGCTTCACTCATATCTATAGTATAATGCTTAACAAACGAAAATAACCTCTTTCGCTCCCGGTATGTCCTGCGCTTTACAGTGAGTTATCAACCACTTACCGAGATTGCTCGATTTTTGTTAAGTGCTGGAGAATGTTTAATATATTTTCAAAATACTTATCAGGGTGTATCTTCACTTCTTTATACCTATCATCCAATTCCTGCTTGTTCAAAATGAAATTGGGGTATCCTATACGAAGCATCATAGCGTCTACCTTCAAAGCCGCTAATTTTTTAGTCTTATCGTCTATCCAATCTGTCAAATGTAGTAATTCCCTGAACGACTGCTGTATCTCTCTTGTCATGGTGAGGGTGTCATTTTTACTCATTTCATCGAAATAATTTCTGACAAACATTGAACCCAATGCCATCCCCATGTTAGAATTCACTTGCGATATGCAGTTCTTCCATCTAGGCGGGGCTTGTTCTCGTCCAAATAAAATAAAATAGAATCTGTGAAAAACTAGTAATTTACTATAAAGCTTTAATAAGTACATACAAACTTTTAAGGTAATAGGTAGGTAAATGGTGCTGAAAAAGAGCTCTTAGTTTAGGTGGCAGACCGTTGAAAGGATGCGATAGGTATATTTGTATGTTAATGATTTCGAAATATGTAAGTACCTAATTCTAGAAGCATGGTTGTATTTGAGAAGAACCTATATGAAAATGCCAAGTAAACCTTTGTGAATTTCTATGTCTATGAAACTTTATAAATGAAAGGACTCACTGCTGCTTGGCTGATTGAAAGCGATCGTCGAGATTGTTAACACGATGCCTTACAAAGCGCCATAACAAATAATTGGACAAAATATGCGGCGGTGTATGTTTTATCAGTTGGACCAAATGCTAGAACATAAAACAGAATACAGACTGAAGGAACAGCAATAATATGACTTAATATAGATTTAAGTCTTCAATAGATATGGAAATAAAACTTACACGAACATAGCTCAGTGCAAATAATACCACTGTCTCGTCAGATTGTATAGTACGATTCATTACTATGGAAAGATATTTTCGCCATTTCACTTGTGGAACTAACTCTTCCAGTGTATGAAGGGGCATGCGTTTGTATAGTTCCGAAACGTTCCTCCTGTCTTCTGGAGCAGAAGTAATCTTTGCAAGTCTTCAATAACGAAAAGAACGAATAAATTAATGTCAGAATATCAGAAAACGTGGCTAAATGTTTTACATATTTTAATCACAGGACTGTTATACTTACTTTATTTCAAATCCAATCAGTTCTTCGGCACAAATTTTTACATAGTCAGGGTTTCCACCCAGAAGTAAAGCTACTTTTATGAGATAAGTTTTATATGCATCTAAGTAAGGTTTGTTGGCATCTTGAAGGAAGTAATCTCTTGTAGGTAATCCTGACAAAAAATAAGGGTTTATGAAACATTTGATACGTATACTACTTATTTAGACTATTAGATCATACCTAGACTAGTTTGATCAAATTGTATGACGAATTCCTCCGAATTTTTGATATCTGGGCCAACCCATTCCGAAATAAGAATATCGTTATTAAACAATCTCAATTTTGCCATTAGCTCCTGCCAGTCAAAGTTGCTTGAATTCCATTGTAGATTTAGGATAGGCCATCCCCCTAATATGTCTAGCAGATCTAAAAGCGGTCTGTGACCACGTTTTTGTAGTATATCGTAGTTCATACAAGATTTGAATAGAAATTGAGCTTTTATTGTAGCATCACCATCAGATAAATCTTTACTATGATCTGATTTTATTGACGTTTCTGTATGAATAAAAGCTTCCCGTTTAAATTGTTTATTATGTAAGTAATTCCTAGGCATTAAAAGATTTTTCTTGTTCTTTATTTGTTTACGCTTTGTTTTTAATTGATTAACAATTATTTGTTTCCTGTTCTGTAAAAGTTCTATTGTCTTGTGGTTATCTCTCTTTACTCTCTCCTTCTTTCTGTTTCTTTTCAAATATTCATGTAGTTTGTGTTTAATCTTTTTCATTGGTTTCATTAGTTGCTTTGATTTAATATCTAAGTATCGGCGAATGCGATTTATAATCTCTGACTTATTTTCTTTTATGGCTAAATCGTATCTAAGTTCTGCTGCTGCTGTATTATTGATAATTTCTCTTGAATTCGTTTTAATAATATCTACTAATAAGTTATCTAAGTTTTTTTCCTCTGTATGCTTTATTTTAGGTAAAATATTCTTTAGGAAGTCATCATCCAAATCCAATTGCGAACCTGGATAAATGCTTTGAATTTTTTGATCATCTTTAAACTCTAACAGTTCTTTTAATACTGTATCTAAGTTTTCTCTTAGCATTTCAAATGTGTCGTAGCTGTAAAAAAAACTTTATTTTTATAACGTGTTACTTCCGTTTAGATTTGAAAATAATTTAAGTATGTTCTAATAACTCCTCATTGGCGCAATTGGCTATATTTAATTAATGAAATTCATATTAATGAATACTTGCCCCGCTTTGTCCGCAGGTATAGGGTTTAAAGTGGCCCAGTTTCCACAGGCGTATTGATAGAAGTCGTGACAAGGATCTGCTTCTGCATCCATATATTGTCGCATTATATTAGCCTGAGTATTCCTTATCGTTTCTCTGTCACCCTGACCTTTCCAAAATGCATGAATACCTGAGTAAATAGAAGTCCCGGAGTTGCTAGTAAATACTTAAATAGGCTCTTAATATATCCTACCTAGATAGTTGAAAGTGTTCTGTCTTAATTATTTTGATTTTTTAGCATAAGTCATACCATTTAAAAAAATGATAACGTATTGTTTTGTGGATTACCTGTATCCTGTACCTAATTAAGTTTTTACCGTGATGAACACAAAAAAATTGTGGACTTCCGATTTTTATTAATAGACATTATTCAATTAATAACGGATGAAACAATAATGTAACCATTGAAGCGAGTCGTGGTCGTGAGAATTTAATCAGGGGTTAGTGAAACGTAACCTTGACTCATTTCGTCCACCAGCCAATTGAATAATTGGTACTACGGCGCTTGAATCGTGATCTACAATTTGCGAAGTAGCTAGGTAGGTAAAGTTAAATGCATTTCGTAGTTTTTGTAGTAAACGTAACCAAGTTTTTTTTGTAACCAAGTTGGTTTTAGCGCAATAAAGCATTATTTTTAATTATTGTTATGTTATTAAAATATTTTACTGTTCGATGTTACTCTTTTATTTTACTAGTTAAGTAACCTAACGATAATTTTTTCAGATCGGACCTAGTCTTAATATCAATAAAAACACAATATTAATAACTCCCATATTGCACAATTTATAACTCTTTTAATCTCTTTTAACGTGTAATGTAGGGTTAAAGTCAAAGACAAAAGAAAATTTTTAACGAATTACATACCAGTATATGATTTAGTTGGCTTGTACACGTTAACTGATATGCCCATTTCTTCTTCCTCTAGTTCCGGTTGTCCTCTTATTTGATCCACAACATCATCAAAGGGACCACGGTCTACATGGCTCTCTGTTTGTCCTATACTAATATTATAAGATAATTGTGTTCAAACTGTTACAATAATTTATCGAATGAACCCTATTAATTAATAAACGTGGAAGTTTGTATGTTTGTTACATAAACACGCAAAAAAGGCTGAGCGGAGTTGGATGAAATAAGGGTACACGCAAAGTTACTACCGATTGAACCTGAATACATTATTTTCCGAATAAAAAAAATTGGTTCCTGTAGGTTATTCAAAAAACTTGCTACAACGCAAACGAACTTGCGGGTGTTAGTAAGTTTTAATATATGTTTAAAAACGGTGCCTTTAATTAAATCAATATAAGCTAATAACGGGGCTTATTAATTATAAATACTTGGTGATACTAAGCTATAAGAAGAACTTATTCATAATTTGTTTCATCATTATCATATTTTTACAAAAATCATAGTTAACACAGAGAGTGGTAGTTATTCTAATTACCTTTCTAAAGATTCATCTTCGCTGTCATTATCCTCGTAAGTGGTGTCTGACACATTGTATTCTTCTTCGTCACCTTCAATATCAATGTCTTCATCATCTTCATCAGGTTCTTGGTGTTTTTTAAGGTTATGAGAATTGACTGAAGAGCTAAAAAATCCATGCATTACTTTAACCGTAACTCTAAACTCAAACGTATGGCATGACCCTGTGAGGACATTCACTTACTCATAGTCTTGGGAAGTAAAAGTAAAGTGACTTCGTCGTTTGACTCTTGTTGGAGTACCATGCTGTGGATCTACAGTGCCCCATATTAAAATGTCACTTGTCACGTTCCCTTCGTAAATTTCTCTGTTAGGATTATTGCGTGCCAGCACAATCTCTTCAGGCGGGAGAAACGAGGTTCTGAAACCTTGAAACACTTCCCTCTCTTCGGGATCCACACCTTCTAACTTTGTGTAAACTTTCGGTATATTCTTCACGACGTATTGGTCCGAGGGATCGTCTAAATAATCTAGGGGTCTTTCAAAAACAAAGTAACCTACAGCGACTACCGATGCGATGGCTAGCACTGAAAGGAACCGATACAAATTTGCACGTTGCGGTTTGAATGATATTGCTTGCGGTGGACATCGCGTTTCCACTCGCGTCATGGCAGCCAAATGGCGAGATCAAACTGACAGTAAAGAGGATTAATACCTGCGTCACAACGACATTGTTAAGTGGAACCTCTTGTAATGCGAACTGCGTCAGCCATTGTGCGATTGCTCCCTCGCTGGACCAAAAATAAATTGCGTGACTGCGACGTTGCTGCTCGTATTATAATTGTGATGGAGCAACAGAAGCTTTTATGTCATGGAAATTGATGCAATGTTTGGTTCGATAACTTTTTATGTAACGTACCTAGTAAGTACTTGTTACTATTTGCAAAGGTTTTGCTTAAGTTCATAAAGAAAACTTAGTAAAAAATTATCTTCACCATCCATTGATTTTTGGTTGATGCCTACTTAATGAGATGGAATAATTAATGAAAGTGAGTGAACATGTCCAGACCACGTAATTGTTTTTCCTTAGTTTGCATCTATGTATCTAAAATTTATGTATAGACCACGCGCGCTGGCTTACGTTGTCACTGGTTGTCACCGACTTACTGTGGCCACAATTCCTACCCGACCAAAGAAAGATTTTTTTTAGTGTGTATGCTGTTGGTCGCACATGACCTATACAGCGTCACCCAGTTTGGGGTCGGCGAGATCCTTGAGGGAATTTAAGCCGAGAAATGGCGAGTGCATCTAAAGATATTCCAGGCGGGTGGCATCTCCCCATGGGGGGAGTCTCCTCTCCGTCTAGAGCCTCAAGACCATTCGTACTTCAGGAGGTTGGCTCAACTAGAGGGCGTCTCTGAGACTCGGACCTCGACTCCAGTTAGCCGTTGTCGTAGGGGGCGGGAAAAAACGGCCATGTACGTATTTGGTATAGCGTGTCATGTGCAGACCGGTCTTCGCACTCTTATACGGTGTACGGTGTCTGCTAAATGTTATGCTAGTGTGCAAGTTTCCTAGCTGTGTAGTGTTGATGTATGTGGCCTGTGTAGGAACTGCTCCTACGCGGAGGCGCGTTAGTGCGGGTGATTTCGTCATGGCATGGGTCCGCCGGTTCCTTAGGTAGGGTAATAAAGTTTAAATAAATGAATGCTTTTGTATTGGGTTACAATTAAAAAGTACATTTACGTAATTTTAAAAACTTTCAAATGTCTAGGGTCTTGGAAGTAAGTAGACAATCCATAAGATGTTAGAAAAAACGAGCGAGCCTTACAGTAGTCGCGTTTGATGTGTAACATTTGAAAGCTCACGTTATATTAGTAAAAAAAGATATAAAACCTACTACAAAAGGAATAAGCCATTTGAACATTATGTTCTTAAATCAAATTTAAATAGTGCGCGCTTTCGCGACTTCTTGTTACACACTTCCGTCCCATTTCACGAAATCACTCCCAGAAATTGCAGGAAAGCGAGAGGAAAGATGTTACACATCAAAAAATATTTTGAAGTTGAAACTGGGAAAAAGTAATCCCATAAAGTTAACAGTCAAACTACGGACTACTTTTCTTTACTTGTGTGCTTACGCTAACGGAAAATCTAGACCAGTGGTTCTCAAACTTTTTAAATGACGGAACCCTTTTGGGAAGCAAAATACTTGATGGAACCCTACAATAAAACAATTATTTTTATAAGTGTATTCTATATTAATCAGCATAATAAAAGTACAATGTATCCGTTACTAATTATTATTTACTTCACCACTTGGTAAGGACAATAATAGAAAACATTAAAAAAGAAAAAATCTAACTAGTGGGAGGTATGAAACTGTTTTTTATTTTTCATCAATTGCTTGATATCAGGTTTGATGGAAGAAAGTTGGAGTCTCATATCAGCTTCGGCGTCCAGTCTATTGCGATATTTTGTTTTCGTGGCTGCGTAGGTAGAGAATCCTGTTTCGCACAAATATGTAGTTGGGAACGGGAGAAGAATATCCAGAGCCATTTGGCCAAGCATTGCATATTCATCTTGGATTCTGCACCAAAAATCATTAAGAGGCGTCGTTTTGAACAATGACTCCATACTTGTGTCTGATGACATTTCTAAAAGAGATTCATATATCTCATTTGACATGTTTTCAGGCTTTTCCAAGTTGGGTAAAAAAGGATTATGAATCCAGGAGTTCACTTTAATTTTTGTATTGTGTTCTTCGGGAAAATACTTTTCAAAAGATGCGCGCATCGAACTGAGATATTGGACCAATTCTTCAAACACATTATCTTCAAACATTTCTGAGTCGTTTTCGCTAACAAACTCAGTGAGTAACGTAAAACTTTCTATTTCTTTCTTACCAATGCAAATGATCCAAAAATCTAATTTTCTTTTAAAAGTAGTTATTTTATTATAGGCCTGAAACACTGTTGTCTGTTTACCTTGCAATGATAAATTTAATTCGTTAAGTTTTTGAAAGATATCCGCCATAAAAGACAATCGGAACAACCAAGTTTTATCATACAAACGGTCCTTCAAATTAAAAGAAGTATCTGCTGAAAGAAACATTTGTAACTCGGCTCTAAGTTCAAATAGCCTTGTTAAAGTTTTTCCCCGAGACAGCCATCGCACTTCTGTATGGAGCAGCAGTGTTTTATGTTTGCTGCCATAATCTTCACACAATAATGAGAACAATCGGGATTGTAGTGGTCGTGATTTGATAAAATTAATTATTTTTACCGCTTCATCCATAACTAATTTTAGATTAGACGGCATTTGCTTCATCGCAAGTGCTTGTCTATGCAGAATACAATGACTGGAACTACAATTAGGCGCTTTATTTTTCATTCGTGACACTGCTCCTGCTGTTTTACCTGTCATCGCCTTGGCCCCATCTGTACAAATGTCAATGCAATTGTTCCAACTGAGATTATGTTCTTCAAAAAATATATTTATTTTATTAAAAATTTCTTCCCCGGTAGTGTTTGTAAGCAGCGATGAACACATAAGCATGTCTTCTTCAAAAGAACTTTTATATGGATATCTCACAATAACCAGCAGGATAGCCAAACCAGCGACATCAGTCGACTCGTCCATTTGCAAAGCGAATCGTGTATTTTGTAGACGTGTAACTAGTTCTTGTTTGACGTAGCTTGCCAGATCATGGATTCGTCGTGAAACAGTATCGTTTGATAGCGGAACAGTAGAAAGATGCTTTGCAGATTTTTCATCAAGCATACATTTTGTTATGTCTAATACACATGGTTTTATTAATTTCTCAGCGATAGTGTGCGCTTCACCTGCTTGTGCAATGCGATAGCTAACTAAGTATGATGCCTCCGTGGCCTTTTCGTTGGTAGTTTGTGTTACATGCATCATATTTTTTTGACTTTCTAATAACTGATCTTTTTTGCGAACAAAAAATTCTTTATTCTTGTCTTTAGTCTCGGGGTGTACGGTTTCTAAATGTCGACGCAATTTGGCAGGTGCCATGGAACTATTAGGAAGCAGTTTACTACAGAGCATGCAGAGAGGTGAGCCGTTGGAATCAACAAATCCGAAACTGATATAAGATTCATCATACTTCCTTTTTTTCGTCTTTGAAACCGTCGAGCTTGACGTCGTGGCACTCGTGGCATCATCTTCTGGATCGGTGATTGCTAAATTCTCCGCGCGCATTGCTTTTGAACATTCAGCGTCATTAGAAGATGTTGTTGGAACACGTTTAACACCTTTAAGCCAACGTTCCATTCTTCTTTATTTATAATGTTACAAGTCAGGATAGTGGGGTTTAAATAATGCACAATCGTTACTGCGTATAAGAGACTAAATTTAGAACCTACAGGGAAGAAATGTATAAAACTGAGACAACAGAATACAGCAGGCAGTAAAACAATGAACACCAGTTTCTCGCTAGCGAGCTTGTAAGTAGGTAGTAACTTATCGCTCCGAACGCTAATCATCAACTGACGACGCCAACGCGCGATCGCCGCTTTTATACTTAGTCCTAGACTCGATCTCAAATATTCTCGAAAATACTCGAGTCGGCACCTTTGATAAACAAAAAGCAAAAATAAAAACAGAAATTTAAAAATAGCGTTGTAAACAATATCGACTTTATCCTTTGAAGTTAGAGACGAAAGTCGCTAGTTGACAACTATAGCGTCTAATTCAGAGGCGGCTTTTATCAAAGAGACTGAGCGCTTACAAGTATACTACCCGCTCGTTTTAAGTTTGCCGCTGGCGATAGGTATGAGTGTATGACGTTCGAAATTTTTTATTTAATTGTAACAATAAAAATTGTGTACGTTAGATATTTGGGTAAAACTATGACACATTATAAGTTTTGTTGTCACGTGGGGGAGGGTACGCGCATTCCACAGACCGGCAAACTTAGAGCGAACGCGTTGTACAAGTATAAAATTGTTGAGACCAAACTTATGAGATATTGTACCAGCTAATGTAACACAAGCTTATACAAATACAAATAAATAAATAAATAACATTCATAGCGTTTTGTCTCCGCGCGGCCGCGGAGTCCGCACAGCCGCGGAGCGACCAGAGAGAGGTGTTTTGATTTTTTTATTTCTAAATTCTTGCGGAACCCCGACAGAGGTATCACGGAACCCTAGGGTTCCGCGGAACACACTTAGAGTATAGCTGATCTAGACAAAAAAGTACTTAACCACAGATTTCTTTACGTAATAAAAACGTCAAGTGTCATACTGACGTAGATAATAGTTAAAAATCGTTTAAAAGATAAGTTGAAATAATTCTTTTATTATTACTATATACTACTATTGGGTTATAAAAAGTCAACGTGCCTTCGCTCGCAATGAATTCATTTGTGGAACTTACGAAAAAAGTGCATTTAATCAATGACTTGATATTGTCGGATATGACGTGTGGTAAGAACGTGTTAAAGTTAGAATAAAGAATAGAACATGTTTTCTTCGCAATTATCCACGTGAAAACTTGATATTAGCATTACTCTCCAACAAAAGAATACCTATAATTATAATATATAGCTGATTTTCCGCTCGAATTGGAACTTGAGAAGTAACCTCCACCCTACAGAAGATAAAAGTTTTTTTTTATTGCGAGGCAGGCAAATGACTCTACCCCACCTGATGTTAAGTGATGATAAAGTCCAAACGCGAAGATAGCTGGTACAGCAGTAAACCCCTACACAGTAAAATAACACTACATTTTGGTGGTGTGGTTCTGTTCAGGGGATTGGATCACGGCACGAGTGATATTTTTTGAATCGCTAGCGTCTACGATGTGGATGCCTCATACCATCAGGCGGGCCATATGCTTGTTTGCCGCCTTATTAACATAAAAAAAACTCATGCAACTTCACCTCACCACAGTTCGTAAAAAGTTGAAAGTAACGTAGAAAATAAAAATAATCATAGTTACTTTACACAATGTTTCCATTCTATAAAGAAAACGAAGAAGATGCAGAGGAGAAAATGAAATTCGACAGACACCTACTCTCGACTGTGCACTGGTTCACGAGAATATCCAGCGCAAACAAGAAGCGGTATTTACTGGCGTTGCTGAATGACATACGCAGTGCTTGGGCTCTTTCGTTACTGCTCAAATCTATTTGGAACTGCCAACCTAAGGACGCCGTGCTTTCGGCCAGCGAGTTCGTAACATTTGAAAAACACATCATATTAAATTGAAACAAGGAAAATACATTATCACAGCATCATACTCACCCTTAAAAAATCTACCTGGAAACGATTGCTTTCCTTTAAAAGAAAACCGAATTTACAAGAGTGACACTTATAGCCTGCGCAGGCGAGGGTGTTTTGTCCGCCAAAATGATCACTTATAACTCCATCGAGTAACGCACACAAGGGATTGAAAGTTCCTCCTCGTTCCTGAGTACCTATAAAAAGTCTCCGGAACAACCGAGGACAACAGGAGACCGCACAAAAGTTAAGTACGCGGGAGTCCCCGAAAAAAAAATAGAACTTATGTGCTAGACGCTGTGCACACAGAAAACTTTAATCCACGTTGTGCGCTTATTTCGATTTAAAAAGATGGAAAAGTATTCTTTTTTAAAATATCTTTTCTTTTTCTTAAACTTCATGTTCATTACAACACAACGTAATCTCATCATCAGTGCAACCACGACCACTCTGATCTGAGTATATTTACTTCTATAGCGTGCGCTTTTCTGAATTTTCGGGCAACAAATGTTTATGTGCGTAGAGTCCGTTACAAGTCCTTGGTGAAAACGTTATTTTCACAATTTAGGGACTCTTGTCCCCCGCGGTCAAAAGTCCTACGTCTACGCAGGTCATCAAATAACTATTTGTGTTGTTTGTGCGTCCCAGACATTATTTTATATAAAAAATATTACTATGATTTTACCCCTCTCGCAGACTGCCGGCCCGGGCCCGTAGATAAACTCCTGCCTGAAGACTTACTACAAAAATAGAAACGGTGATCAGCCTCTTTGCTAACTGTTTTGACAGATGGAAGTGACAATCACCGAGCTATTTAGTGATACACTACCAGTGGCGGCGCTAGACCACATGTGGACGTCGGCGACATCAAGTTCGCGAGGCCTATTTTACTTCGCAGTAAAAAATCGTTAAATTAAGTGAGCCAAATTATAAAATAACGTATGAGTAAACGAGTTTTATTGCTGATAATCAAATGATGACAAAAAATAATTACAAACATAGAAATTACAAAAATAGTGTTGCCAGACAGACGATTCTGAATACCCGTAAAGTGCTACTCGCTTCTATCACGCACGTGTTCGAAAATAATAAAAGACATTATCATCTGCTTGAGTTTTTTCCCCGCATTGTTCGGGGACGGCTACCTAAGCCAGGCCAGGAGAAACGAAAATAAATAGGTAACTTGTAAAAATTTTTTGCGAGGCCGTAAGATACTTGTTCTGAAAATCATCGAAGGATATACAAATTTCTCTTTAGTTATACACACTGTTAATGCCAAAAAAGTTAGCGAATAGGCCGGTAGAACGAATATTGACATAAATAATTATTTATAAGTTAGAACCATGTTCGAAAATTTAAGCATTCACACAAAGAATTTCGGCCGTTTTTCGTTTTAATTTTTTTGTAAGTAAGTGGGTGGTGGCGGTTGTCGGTTCTCTTATGAATGTATAAAAGATATTAAGCATCTGTTAAAATTTGTATTGTCTTAATGCAGCCCCAACGTGTGGAGCAGCTACGATCAAGCACCGCTAGACCACAACAGAACAGCGCAGCCAGCGGCCACTCTCGCGCTGGTGATGAAGAATGATAGGATTTGGTTCCTTTCATTAGAGCCGGTTCGTTATGAAAATAATAAAGCATTAAAAAAAACTAAATTGGACCTGTAGTTAATTTCTTTTTACCGGATACAGAGCCGGTGCGGTTATATTTGTGCTTCACACATTAACAGGAAGACCGTTTACAGGAAACCTTCATTTTTTTAGTTTTTTGGTGTACTTAGTAGGTCCTCAAGTTTCTTAGAAGCTGCCGATGTGTAGTTGATCGAATACTATCGGGATAATAACAATACCCAATTTTCTTAACAATTCTTAATAGATCTTAATACTTGTTAATAGTAATTCCATAGTTACACGCGGTAGCGACTGTGGTCGACAACGGAGCAAGTTATAATCTGGAACCGCATGCGTCAGACGGGCCATATCCTTGTTTTTTACATAGTTAAAATTTTCATATTCTCAATTTATTTTTGGAGATGTAACGGACTGTAACCACCACCTTAACGTCAACCTCCTGCCGGCGGTGCATCTTGCTGATCAAAAACTGAGGCCCTGACACCGAAATGACGGAACAGTGATGGGCAGCAGCGTCACTAGTGCGAGAAGCTTTGCCCTGCGGTCACCAATCAGTTTCCCCAACGCGGTGACTAAGGGTGAACACCACTTTAACTCCAACCTTCTGCCGGCGGTACATCATGCTGACCAACAAATAACTCCTTAAACACCGACAAATAGCAGTTTAACCATTTCCAGACCAACACAGGTAAATGACAGACCAGTGACGAGCAGCAGCGTCACTAGTGCGAGAAGCTATGCTCTGCGATCACCAATCCGCTTGCCTAACGTGGTATATAAAGGCGTAACCACCACCTTAACGTCAACCTCCTGCCAGTGGTGCATTCTTCTGACCAACAAATGAGGCCCTGACGACCGACACAAATGGCGGTTTAATCATTGCCAGACCAACATAGCTAAATGACAGACCAGTGACGGGCAACAGCGTCACAAGTGCGAGAAGCTATGCTCAGCGATCACCAATCAACTTGCCTAGCGTGACATTACCTTCCAATGGCAAGCAATACAAGAAGACGACCACCAGTACCCGGCAGTCCCGGTTATCCCGGCCGCGTTTATGGTTAAGGTTACAGCGGGATAGGCCATGGGGTGCTAAGATTCCCGGGTTACGACTTACAATAGGATCAGTTTAAAGTTTTAGCTCTCCTCGAAATATTGATATTGAAAATGCCATTATGATTTTTAGGTTCATCACTGTAACTATTAGTATGTTTATTAAAAGTTTATTTTTATGAATTATTCATTTTGATCTAGGAATCACAGGCTATCGTGCTATCGGAATTGCTAGCGGTGTCTGGAAGACCTGTCATATGGGCAGTACTGTCACAGGCAGAGAAGATCTATGAGAAGTACAGAACTAACCAATTGCAAGACTTGGAGGAATGTATCGTAGTCAACGAACCTCCAGCTGAAAAGACGCAGCCATCCTCCGAGAAAGTAATTGCTGTTAGTCATTCGTGAACTAAGGCTGTAAGAACTGCGGTTGAAGCGGCATGCTCCTATACTGTACTGTACGAGCATTCCGCTTCAACCGTATTTGCTATCTTTCTTTTGTAGGTATTTATTGTTAAACAGAGCTTGCCTTGAGTTAAGAGTTTATAATACGGTCTCTGAATTACTTCACGTCACTTTATTTTGGATCACGACTTAAGTATAATACACGACTTATGTATCAGTAATCTCAATCATTATTCACGTAATTAAAATAGTGCATTTACAAAAGGCCTGCTTTATTATTTATATCATCCAGTAACTTCTTAAAAATACTGTACCTATTTCTTTCCCAAAAACGAGTCCTCGATCTATTGATACACCCTGCTGCTGAGACACAGGTCTTCCTTACGGACGAAAGAACCCACCACTTGGGCATAGTGCAAATAGTGCTAACGACTGTATGAACTATGTTTAGTATGCAGAAACTCGAGATCCAAAATTTATGTATGTTTAATACTAATATTAAACCTGCTATTGAGATTATCTTTAATTTCATAGATCTCGCTTCAAGAGATCTACGTATATATATTACAGCAAACCAGTGAACCAAATGTTCACCAAAAAAAAAATGTATTTAATTAATTGAGAACTTCGGAGATTTTGTGTGGTTTTGTTTGAAATAGAAATCACGTGATTTCTCGAAAACCGGAAGTGCTACGTTACTCAAATCCGGTTTGTAGTCTTATCAGACTATTCTTAACTTATAACTTAAACATTCTCTTTATCTATCTCTTACGGTTTGGCCGCTGAAACAGCACCACGGACGGACGGACGGACTTGTCTATTAGATAAGCGATAATATATAAATGTTATTGTTGCAGAGTAAAAAGGAAAATTCACCGCAACATCTAAAGAGCTCTGTAAATGATAAAACACTTCCCGCTCCGGGCCAAGCACAGAAAGAGGTAAAGAACTTACAATTTTTTTATATACCAGTTAATTTTAATTAATTTTTGATGTGAAATTTCTTTAGGCACGCTTAACTTGGGGGTAAACTGACGAATGTGTTAAGATTTCGCGGTACGATAAGTGTCATAAACAAAGAAAAATATCCGTCACAAAACACATGAATCTAGTGCTTGGTGGGTGATACGGACCCAGCACGAATTGGTGGGTGATAACGGACCTAGTGCGAATTGGTGGGTGATAACAGACCCAGTGCGGATTGGTGGGTCATAATGGACCCAGCGCGGATTGGTGGGTGATAATGGACCCAGTGCAGATTGGCGGGTGATAATGGACCCAGTGTGGATTGGTGGGTGATAACGGACCCAGTGTGGTGTTTTTATTCGGGCAGCAAGCAAGTTATTGTTATTTGTGATATCATATCATCGCATATTATCATTACAGTTAGATGCTAATTTGGCGGTTTGGCATGCTACAATAAAAGCTTTACGGGACAGCGTCAAATTGGAAGAACTAGAGATGACATTCAAAGATGGAACCAAGCGCAAAGTATGGAAAGTGAACCGACCCAAACCAGAAATAACAGAAACTGTTGATTTTGTGAGTGTAAATTCTATATAAGTTTTTTGAGAAAGAAGGAATTCTGGTAGCTATGCTCAATAGGTAATTAAATACTTAGTAGAAATTAACCAAGGTCCCAGCAAGGGTCAGCTAAAAACATTATCAAGGCGTCCGATGAAAATTGAAGAGTGCTAAGTAATTTAAATGACCACTTTATTTTTTTTTAATATTTTCAGGTTCAGCTTTTACCTGCAGCGATAGGAAAACGCATATTATCATATTTGCCGCGTGCTAATCTCGCTGACTATGCTAAAGTCAATAAATACTGGGCTTATTTAGTGGACGACTTTAAAGCTGAACTGTTGGCTCGGGTCAAAATCAACAGCGATTTGGAAAAATTGCAGGTAAGTAAGTAAGTTTACTCTCACGAGACAAAAATACGCGGTCAGGCAGCAGACGGGCCTTGAATCTGCACCCTCCGCTATCCGGATGACGGATGCACTGACCAATTATATTACCGCGGCATACTTCTAGAAATACTAGAAGAATTCGACGCAGCCATTAACCGCTTCGAATTTCTTTTAGTATTTCTAAGGCTTGCTGCCTTAGAAACGTGGAATTTTTTAGTATTTTTTTTCTGAGGATTTAAACATCTAGCAGTTAAATGCTTAATATTTATATGTGTTTACTTTCTAATAGACCTAATGCATTATCTAATTTTTGGTGTTCACTAAAGAGGTGTCAAATAAGAAGACGAAGACAGATGGTAAACGGATCATCCGGACCGTCATGATATGATAAAACCAAACCTAAAGCATAATCATATAATAAATATAATCTTGCCGTGTCATGCCAGGATGGGACAGTGTTTGATGGGATGATTTGGTGAATCCTACCGATATGTCTAGGAAGCCAGTGTAGATGATTGCCGAGCACATTGCACGGCTTCACCGTTTCGGGATATTATTCAAGCATTTGAGGTTCTCCCACCTGCGAGGGAGAACCAGAAGGTCATTCCTACTGGGAGAGGGTCACTCGAAACAGTTATTCGGGTACCACGCTCAACCGAGGGTACGCAGTGAGATTTCTAATAGGTTAGATTATAGGTTTCTCCGAGGATTTATTGAATGGATTTCCGTTAGATGGTTCCACGGAGGAGAGTCCCACGTGTCGGCGGGGTGTACACCCCGGAAAACGTCTTGGCCAACAATCATGGACAATGAAAAACAATTTTACATACAAAAATGTCCATTACGCAGGTTTATTTGTTTGTGGTTTTGCTTATGAAGTTTGCCGCTAGCTTTACCTACTTATCGCGCCTTTTATTCACGGTAATAAAAACCTTTAAAGAAACTCATAGTGTACTTCTCAACGGAGATATCATTCCGCACCTTAATTGTAGGTATGAAGAAGGAAGTGAAAATAATTATTTTTTAATAAAGTTGTTAATGTGCTGTTTTCCGATTCTAGGAGTTAATGTTACGTCACGACACTAGCATGGAGGTCGTTGCCCAGTCGGACCCTAGATCGACGCTACTGAGTTCTCAAGGGATGATGAGTGCAGCGCCATCGGCCAAAGCAAGAATATTTGTGCCTAGTATGAGGGCTAGTGAAAAGTCCGCCGGAGCGGTGTCGTTCAGGCATATGCTCAGCGATAAATTGAATAAAACCTCCTTGGTAAATAAGGTTCTTAGTTCTACAACAACCAACTATAATCCTTCTCCTACACCTGCATGTAACCTCTGGTTCAATCGCGACTGTTCAATTACAGAAAAATCAACAGGAACACGGTATGTTTTTCCTTTGCTTCCAGTAATCAGTAAGTCCTCATTTCCGTGGAAAGAGACTAGGTTACTTTATGCATATACAATAGTAGTAGAAAATTGTTATCTGTTATTGTCTTCTCGTACAGGCCCAAAAACCATTCCGCAATCTGGCTGAACTAACACAAAGATTGGAACGGCGCGGAGCAATTGACGAAAACTTGTGCGCTTGGTGTAATAATATAGTCAAGCAAGTCAAATCCACCAAGAAAATGGGAAAGGTTTGCTTCTCTTTTAATCGTACAGGCAATGATACAATACAAAAAAAAAACAAAAATACTTTTTACTGTGCGTGACCGATCATAAGGGCGTCTGCTCTCCATCCTCATACTCATTGATCCATGTGGTGCATTGCCCATTTTCTCTGAGCGCGTGTATTGCGCCGCTGTGGACTTTGTTGTGCATATTATCTTGATTTAATCGCTTAGCTAAATCAATATAGTGGACCGGTGTAAGAGAAATATTATTTTCTTTCCTTGCCACCAATTTTTCATCGCAATGAATTTCGAACACCATAGGGCTGGCCTTTCGCAGGGCGAAGCGAAGTTATTCTTTGGGCTGTAGGCACTTTTTATCATTCTTATGATAATATAATATAAAGCTATACCTACACTCAAATTAATTTATCATGTTTACTGTGCATGTTGATGTTGATTAGATTTAAAAGAAACAAAAAACATGTATCATTTTCAGAGCGCAGTACTAAGGTCTGCCGAGGGTGTTCTTCAGTTGGGAAATATGCATTTTCCTTGTCCATTAATGCAGCTGAAATTGCAGATTCCACTTCAGACCCCTCTTAGTAAAGATCCGGTCGTAGAGTAAGTTCTTATAAGAGCGGAGAAGATTTTCTTCAATAGGTATTTGATTAAAGTAGAAGCTATATGAACCAAGGAAAGGATAAATGGGCGTGTACTGTGGACAAAGGGTACTAAATATGTGACTGCGTAAATAGCTTTGGTATAGTACTATGTCAATAGAGTGACTGTATCATTGTCCCCACTGCTAGGGTACAGGTCGGTACGGTACAGATCTGTCATATTAACGGAAAAGTGAGATTGATTGGGCTATGGCTCATCACACAAGCTCAGTGCGGATTGGTGGGTGCTCAAGACTGCGATTTCAGGCTGGACCAACGGCTTACCGTTCCTATCTAAAGCACAGAAGATATCAAGGTAATGAGTTTTTGGTCACGCATCCTGCGTCCGGGCATTCCGAAAGTTGATCTACTTCTACGCAGACCGAATCAGTTCGCCATTGAGTTCCTCAATATGCCTGTATATAGAATGGCAAGATTCACTGTTGTCTAAGTTTAGGTTTCAAGAATCATATCAGAATTGACACCATTGTCCGCCTAACATGATTGATTTCTTTGAGGTCAAAAGGTTTCAAGGTACTCGTAATTGATTTCTTTGAGGTCAAAAGGTTTCAAGGTACTCATTCTTTTAGTACTACACCGAGGCCTGGGAGAAACGTTTCCAGTGGAACAATGCTTGAGATGCCGAGACATCAAGGTGTCCAGCGGTACAGCCTGTGGACTAAAGACTTTTCAAAATTGTACCCGGTTTTTAAAATACCTTCATATCAATTTCCTATTTGATGTTTTAGGTGTAATTTTACTTTTATATTTTTTCAATTTGATTTGTTTTGCTTTTTCTGTCGTTTATTGCCAATGAAAATGTTCATTCTTATTAATTTGCTGTTTTATTTTTTTAAGCTATGTTTCAATACGTGGGGCACTCATAAAGTTTTGCGTTATGTACTACTAAAATATGCTACCTGAAATAGACAAATAAATTTGTTTTTTTATTATATGCTGTTGAATTTTATTAAAAGGAGACTAAGATTAAACTTCATATTGCATCTGTTAGAAAAAAAAACGAAACGCGTGGATCCTGCTAACTATCCAAATGAAGACTATCTTCGCCAGCCACATAAAGCTAGTACACAAGCCAGCGCTACTAGCCTAAAAATAGAACTCCATCCTATTAAAAAATGTTCTGGATTGTAACCTAACTTACTAGCTTAGAAAAAACTTGTCTACATGAAGCCAAAAGTACTAGCTTGCTTATAACTTGCTAGCTTACTGCCACTAGTATACTAGGCTCGTGTAACTCGGGCATTGTGGAGGTAGACTATATTTTATACTCTTAGGTTCTTAAAGAGAAAATTTTATGACGTAGCCTCAAATTATTTGGTTCATCTTTAGCATGTCGCATAACATTTATAACTGATTTTAAAAATATAAACTTATCAACAACCATTTGCGGTTCAATGGTAGAAACTCGCCTTATGCGCGGGCGGTCTGGATCGACTTCCGGACGTGGAAGGACCGTTTTTGTAAGTTTCGCTTACATCGTGGTTCCTTAAAGCCACACATTTTTTTTAAATCTTTATTCGTTTAGGAGCTTTGATAGACTATGTATGCTTTCCAATTACAGAGCATAATGCGACTCAGTGCCGCACAATGCCCAATTATGCTGATGCTTAATTGGAACGTGAATTAGTTTTCAAATGCACCAGCAGAGTGCGCTAAGTTCAGTGTTGAAAAAAAAGTCAATGTTTGTACCTTCAGCCATATTCATATTTAATTTTTTAACACACTTTGATTATTTAAAAAAAACTATAATGAAACGAAAGTTTTAGTAATTTTTGCTACCATGGTTGCTTTCCAATTACAGCATTATTGCGCATTATGCGGCATAATGCTTAACGTTGAGTGTTACACAAGTTACAGCATATTTTACATTTTACAAACTTAAAATCGCTTTACTGTAAAGTTGTGATTATGCAGAAGTAGCTTTATTCTATGGATAGGTCGATATATTTATTGTATAAGTATATTAAAATACCTACCAAATTAGAAAATTTATATAATGTAATGAAACAAAAAAAAAACAAATTAATGGATTACTTTATTACTCTAATAAACTACAACCAATATCACATTCTGACGTCGTTTCATCACTGTCTGAAGATCAACACTGCAAGCATGAGCTCGCGCGGACCGACCCGGAGTGAAGAGGTAACACAATGTATTTGTAATTCTCCGCAAGAGACAGATAGCTGAACGGTAACGGTCATGGGGACAAAACCAATCGCAAACCAAAAAATATCTGCGCTCCAAAAATTTTAATACGTCATAGTGTAAAAAATAAAAAAAGTATAATTATGCTGTATGTGCTCAGTATCTTTTGCCTTCCTGTGAATGGAGAAACTTAAAAAAAAAACAATAATGTCAATGTCAAACTATCAACTTGACATTGACAATTTTGTTTTTCTTCTAGAAAGAAAAATACGAAAAAATATTTTTTATTCCTTTTGTGTTACTATTGTATATGGTTAAGTCTATTTTCAACGCTAAGACAGTTGTAAAAAGCGTTATCACATTACTCTTGGCATTGATAATGCCCTCACCTGCAAGTTTGTAATTTTAAGAAATCTAGAAGTTCAGTCCAAAATGAGCAAGCATATGTATTCTACTGCTAACTTGACCGACAAGGAGTTTAAGGAGCAAGGCAATAGGCTATTTAGTTTACGAAGGTTCGAAGATGCTATGAATTGCTACACCAAAGCCATCGTAAGTAGAATGAAACAGCTTGAGCAATCGCTTTGCTAGGAGACGATAATGCGGTTTGTTTTCGTTGTTCCGTTTCGTCATTCCATTCAGTGAACCGAGACTACTACAAATTGCTATGGCATTTGTATAACATGGTTTCTTAATCAAATCGGCAATATCTTATGAGTAACTGATGATGGTGATACATATATATATTGGAGGAAGCCATCACTGAAGAAATCTTATCTAATATACTAGATATCAAAAATCTTAGTTAACTCATTTACTTTCAGCCTATAAATTTATTCGGGAGCCACCTACAGATATAATTGCCTGTTTTCAATTTAATCGAAAATTTCAATATATTGTAAAAATATATAATGCTAATAGTGTCTACTGACTATACATTGAACTCGTGGGTTTATTTTTCAGTAATTTAATATTTAAAAAGATTGTTTGTACCTTTAATTTAAACATATTTTATTTTAGTATTTTTACCATCTGAAAGTCATCTATATAGCAACTTCATAAGCCTCGTTTAAATAAAAAAAATATATATTTTCACAGATAAAAAACCCATCGGTGGCCACATATTTTACAAATCGTGCACTATGCTATCTGAAAATGAAACAATGGGAAGCAACATGTCAAGACTGTCGGCGTGCTTTAGACATTGACAACAATCAAGTCAAAGGGCATTTCTTTCTTGGTCAAGCTTTAGTAGAACTGGAATGTTATGATGAAGCCATCAAGCATTTACATAGGGGTGATTTCTTTATTTATAGTTGCTTTATTTAAAAGTCTGTTTTATACTATGTCAAAGATTACATCAATTTTATGCTTTCTATATTTGTGTACTCTTTAGAAAAGCTCTTCTTCATTTCTTTCTCCCATTCCTTCCTCTGAGTAGTCTGATACAAATTTGACCTCATCCTATATTGCTTCTAACGTAGTATCAATTATCCTCTTAATTGTATGATGTAATCGTATTTCCCATTACAGCAAGTGACCTAGCACGTGAACAGAAGTTGAACTTTGGTGATGACATAGCTGCCCAACTCCGTATAGCAAGAAAGAGAAGATGGAATGTTCAAGAAGAAAAGAGGATATCTCAAGAAATTGAACTGCAAACTTATCTTAATAGGTTCGCAATCACTTGCCATAAGTTTTATATTTATGATTTTAGAAGAGTCATCAAGTTTCCTATCTTTCAGATTAATAAGTGAAGATATGCAGCGTAGAATAGAAGCTTTAAAATTAGAAAATGCTAATGATGAAGATGTAAGCTCAAGAGTTTCGAAAATTGAAGATGAATGTGTAAGCATACTTTGTTCTTTATTTCATACTTGTCCTCCTTCATTTGTAGCATTAATGCTGAGAGTTGTGATGTTCCCGACTCATATTTCATAACAGATATTTAATTTTTAATTAATAGGATTGAACTAACATCAATCTAAGAGTAGTCCATACTTTTAGACTGTATAGTTTGTACTTATTATCAAATAATACTATAGAATCACAAAGTCACAAAAATCTTTTTATATTTCAGAATAATTACTCTAGTGAATTAAATAACTTGTTTTCAAAAATGGATGAAAGAAGAAGGGTAAGACTGTTTTAACTTTTAATGTTATTATCAGCATATTAAAACATATTTTGAGCTCATTCAACAGTTTTATATGCAAACGTATTTTTTTTGTAACATTAACTTTATTGAATTAGAATTCATGCCTGCCTGGGTAAAATTCCTGTAGGAAGTGGTGAAGCCATTCAATGATCATTATTTAATTATAAGGCTACTATGACTATTATAAGATATCAATGAAGCTCACACAGGGGTGTAAGTCTATACAACTAATTAGCTTTACCTTTTTTTCTAATTTGGGAATTAAACACAATATTGTTTTTTATAGAAGCGAGATGTGCCTGACTATCTGTGTGGTAAGATCAGCTTTGAAATCTTGAATGAACCCGTCATTACACCTAGTGGCATCACTTATGAGAAGAAGGATATAGAAGAACATCTTGAGGTAATTTGAATTATTACTGTAATTTTGCTGTGTGATGTTATTGATGAAAAGTAATGAATGCTGGTTGGCCAACATATAGGAATTGAATAAATTATTTGACGAAATTCTAATTTTGGTGAAATAATATTACTTAGAGTAGAATAAATGTTCTATGTTTTATTACTCTAGAAATGTATTAAAAAATTATTGATCAAAACTTAAATGAATTTAACTTATGAAGGTTAAACAACTTTAAACACATAATGGTTTAAGAGTATTATTTTTTATTTCATTTTATTTGGTATATTTTCCAACATTTTCCAGTGCTTTTTATCAACAATAATAACTAATTAAGAAACTAGATAAAAAACACCTTTAACACGTTTCCGTATATCACAATGGTGTCGATTCTGACATGATTCTCTAAACTTGAAAGCTAAATTTAACATCAGTCTATTTTTCGTTTTGTGTAGATAATGACAAGGATACTCTATTGTCAAATTTAGGTTTAGAGAATCATGCTGGAATCGATACCATTATATATCCTGGTCAAAAAAGGTTGAGCATTGAATTTCCATCTGGCATAGACTGAAATAGGTATTAATTTTTCAAGTAGTTTTTTTAACATAAATGGTATTTCCTTTTCAGCGCGTTGGCCATTTCGATCCTGTGACCCGCGTGAAGTTGACTGCAGACCAACTCATACCTAACTTCACTATGAAGGAAGTGGTCGATGCTTTCTTACAGGAGAACGAATGGGCTCTGGACTACTAAAAGAAGTATTTATTATTGACAATATAGAAATCACATAGAACCAAGGTCAAGTTATAAATAGAATCCAGACATTCATTTTCACTTATTTTTGTCTCTTTCTATGATACTGAAGTTATACTGTAATAGAGTGAATTATTCTTTCGCATTCATTCTATGAACTGTAATGAAAAGGGATGATACCATAACATCCTTTTTTGTCTAAAGCTATGTGTTTACTCTTAGAAAACAATTCAGTGAATCGATTATAATATTTGATTAAAGCTAATGATTTGACAATTGTTGATCTTTACATAGAAGCGAAATCTGATCGTTATTCTTGAGCCCTCTTCATTAGTGGAGCTTCAATAATCTCTCCAAGAAGATGTCCCTGACATAAATATTGCTGTTGTGAAAATCACAGCTCATAAATCTGAATGTACGAAGAAAGGTCAAATTCGTTTAAATAGGGCCATTACAATTTCAAACACTTCGCACTTGGTACAAAATTTCTCATACATTTTTCATTAAGATTGCATCAAAACAGTAATTTCGTAGATTATTTCATTTAAAAAATATTTTATAAGGTTCCTAAGTTGTGGGATAATCAATTACAGTTAAAAATAAAATGCCAGTGATTTGTTCATTATAGTTATTGTTTAATACGAGTAAAAAACTCTTCTGGTTCAGTTAGGAATCGCTTTATACTTACAAGATATTGATGTGATATTGAAAATGAAGTAATTCAAAACACAAAATTAACATAAAATATTGCAATATATGCCAAAGAAATTTAAATTTACCCATATTCACTAACACTTACTACAGAAGTTTCGTGATAATTTTGACTGTCTGGTTATGTAATAGAGTCACAATTAAATAGTTTAAAAATGCCCTTTTATTGAAAGTATTGTGTTATTATCTTGCTAAGGTTTGTTTTGCTTATAATATGCTCTAGCTGTATATAGTAATATATGGTCTTGGACCATTAATTATTATTTTTAATCTTATAATAATACTTAAGTACGTGTTTTTAATGATAAATGTGATTGGTGTATGGTCGATCGTTACTAGGCTTTCTGATAGATTTAAAAGTAAAAAATACAAAGTGAGATTGACGGCCTTTCCATATTGCTGTGCGGCGGCAGTATTGTGCAGCCAACATTCATAATGGACGATAATGATATGCATTAGGGTTAAATACTGTGCAATCGTAGGCTTAGGTATTCTTTATAGAATGAACAAAAAAATATCTATAATGCGATTCAACTAAGAATAGGACCGACTGGGCGCCATATGACGGACACTAGACATAGTGACGCGTGATAGCTGTCAATTCAAACAAAATAGGTAGAGTGAGCAAAAAGGTTTTTATTTAATAAAACTTATTTACTAAGATTAAGTGAGAAAAACGAACATGCATCCTTTATGTAAACGAAAGTTTGAAATCGAGTTTATGAACGCAACTTAAAATGACATTTGGTTGACGATTTAGGTTATCAACCATTCAACCATAGCCAAAGCTCAAAAAATGTAAAAAAGATATCAACCAATATTAATTATCAATATTTGTTATTGTTTGTTGTACAAATGTTTGGTTTTTATTCTAGAATTAGCTGAGTGCTAAAAAAGGGTTTCAAGATTTTTTTGCAAACCGTACTTTTCAAGCGACATTTGGCAGGTGGAGGTCATTGGCTTTCCTATTCTTATTTGAATCGCACTATACCTGCTTAAATTAATCACTCTATAGAAAGCGTTTGTGTGACTAACGGACAGAAAAGTGTGAAAGAGACAAAGTAATCATAAGGACGGTAGTTCGCGTTCGTCAATAGTTAGATAAGGGTATTTGACAAGTTTTAGAAAACGATATACTTTTGCAACTCTGCTGAGCAATAAAGGCCCTTTGAGCTGGAGTAGTCATGATCAATGAATGATAACCAAATTGCTGTTGATATTAAGGCAGATTAAAGCATGTTTAGTTGGTAATTTTCTTGATTAATTTGGATACCTTTTTCTAAAAAAAAGTGAGTTTTACAGTTTCGTAACTTTAGTAATAGAGTTTATTTGAGGTAAAGTGGAATAACTGCAACAGGTCCAGTGGAAGATCTGATCCCCTTAGATAAGTGATTGTTGGCTTATGATATAGGTATTTTTTTTCGTCAGAATCAAACAGTTTTTCTCCTTGAAGTAGTGGAGAGTCGTTTTGATTTCAATTCGGTTTGATTGAAAACTGGCCGCCATATTGAAAAACATGTTTATCGCCATATCTCCGAAATTATTGATTTTATATGTCTATATCCCTTATTAATAAATGAAGATTAAGTTTAGACTTGTTACCATGTTATGTTCATATCACCAAAATGTCATTTGTAATCAAACGAACAGAGACAAAAAATGGAGTAGCTAATCCAAGCTTATTCTTCGTTTAATAATAAAGGGGTAGGTATGTGTGCAACGAAACCATAGCGGTATAACTCTACGTCGCCGCGTAGCAATATGTAAATGCCCTGAAATGTTTTGTCAAATGAGTTGTCAATAACTTTATGCTAGTACTTGGCGTACTATTTGTAAATTTTACAGAAGTAAGTCTTTATCATGCTTCTTATGGAAACAGTACCTAGCACGAATTTTGACAGACCTGTACCCTTAGCACAAACCGCTATTGAATTCGAATACTTTGCAAACCGAAATGTCAACGTCAAATTTTGTATGGAAACGTGATACGAATTCGATATTGGTTCGTGCTAAGGGTACAGTACCCCTAGCACGAACCAATATCGAATTCGTATCGTTTGCGAGTACGAAATGACATTGTCAAATGTATTCTGATTTTTAGTTCTCGTTTGCGCTCTGGCGCTGCTGTTCAAGTTTTCTTACAAAATTTGATAGTGACATTTCGCACTATTCGAATTCTATAATGGTTCGTGTTAAGGGTACCGTAATCGGATCGCAACGTCAAAGTTTCTATGGAAACTAAGCAGCTCCCCCCTACCGGGCGTAAGAACAAACTGGATCCTTCCATATAATATTTGACGATGACGAGCTGTCAAAATTCGTGCTTGGAGCTCGAGTTGCCGGTATTCGAATAATACCTTCATTTATTCTACTGTTTCGTCGTAATCATACTGATAGCACATTAGTATGTGCTACTAGCGTATGACCACGAGGAATCGGTCATAGTGATCACATTAAGTACCTATTTTTATGCTCAATCAATAGCTTTTTTTGTGTAAATATTTTAATAAATAACTGGCAGAGCAGATTATTATCTAAGAAAAAATGGTTAATTACTTAAGCTCTGACGAGGAATGTGTCAACCCAATTCCGCTAGGGGCGCTACTGTGCTAGGAGGTTAAATAAGTAACATAAATCCCCTTAGCGCCAAATGGTAGTAAGACTAGAAAAATTACCATCTTTCTAATAATTTGAAAGATTACCTATCTACCTTTGATGTCAACAATTAGAAATTATAGGGAAGCATTATTCTCTAACAAAGGCCGCAAAAACATGGTTCCTAGTGCTAAACTTAAATAATAACGCGACAGGCACACATACAAAATAAAATAATTTGACAAAGCAAATATCTGGAAAAGAATTCGGCTATCCATTCATGGGGTAATTCCATGATCGGCGTGTGGATCGCATTTTTTAGGCCCGTCACTTAGCGCAGTTCGTATTCCTTATTCGTATATCCGTGTTCGTATTTCCAATTCATTGGCAGAATATTATTCAAGTACTCGTAAACTTCCAATTGAAAACGATAAGGTACCACTTAAACTACTGTTATTGGAATTAACAAGATTGCGACATATATTTTAAAGGTTATTGTTTAATTGAAAACTTTAAAATTAGTATTAGAAAGATGGCCACTTGTGTATGTGTGTGCGCCCCGGCCTCAATTTTAACGGGATTACCTTTTTAAATATAATATTGTATCTGTTATAGCTCTGATTTTCCGATGACGATACGTTGAACATGTTCGGTATCGCGGTAATCTTCACCTTCTTCACACAATTAACGTCATCGGTAAATTAATGCTAAAACACGTGTCTTCGAACACAATCCGCCTTATGTCCACGTAATGTAACGTAGAGTATAGTTAAACCTGGACTAAAAGCAGTGTTGCCAGGTTTCCCGATTTTACAGATCTCCTGTTTTTGTGAAATTTCTCCTGTTCTACTGTTTTTTCTTGTAGCTCTCCATACATCAGCTCTTTTCTATAACGCCTCCCGATTTTTAAAAAGCGGACCTGGCAACACTGACTAAAAGTGATGCTTTCGCTTTTGTTAACAAACAAAAGAAAGAAAAGAAAAGAAGAGAGAGATTTTTGAAATAAGGCGGTTATGTTTTCGTGAAAATTGTGGGTCCCGGGGTATGTGTAGGTATTTCAATCTTGTATGTAGATATATTTTGATCGGTAAACCATCGTTGTTGTAAAAGATATAAAACAGGTTCAACGTTGTGTTGTGACGCCAATGTCAATGTTATTGTACCTAACATTAATTACTAAGTAAATGTTATTTTATACTCACTATGGACTTTTATTTAATACCTAATTTATCTTCAATACCTATATCCACAATACCTAACAATAGAGAATTTAAGTGTTGTGGAAAAGAAAGTTAAATGACAACTATAGCTCAGTTTTTTGAACAATAAATCTAAGGCTTTGGTCTACTATAAACGCTGTAGGCCGCGTACAGCGCCACGCCGTAGACCGCGTCACGATGCCTACTACGGTTTTTTTTAGTGTGTTTTGATCGCAGATGACCTTTACAGCGTCACCGGGTTTAGGGACGGTGAGATCCTAATGGAACCTCAAGCCGAGAATTGACGAGGAGATCCCAAGGGGACCTCAAGCCGAGAATTGGAGAGTGCCTCTAGACCACTCCAACCTGAGGGGGTCGGCTCCAGTCGAGTGCGTCTTTGGGACTCGGACCCCGGCTCTAGTTAGCCGTTGTCGTGGGGGCAATCTACGGTGTCCACTCCAACGTCAGCGTAAGAAAGAGACCACAACAGTACATTTCATTCAACATCGTGACGCAGCGTGGCGTGGCGCTGTAGGCCGCGTATGGCGTTAATAGGAGACTAA